GATTGAATGTATTTCAGTAGAAGATCGATAACGGAAGAACGCGAACGAAACACAATCGGTATGAAAATACATGAACAATAATCGGAGACGATGGACTGATATTTGCAGAGGGAACGGTCAAGATTGAGACAATTGATTGATAGTTTGCAAATTACTTATTTACTATATGTTTCTCATATTTTACTGAGATATTCTGTAATTTTGTGCCTAAATACATTCAATTGTCCCCACTCGTCTTCTTGTTAACTACACTATCGCTCTTGGAACAAGCCCATCGACCAGAGATTTTTAGGCAACTTTATCTTGGGTTCTCATTTTCAGTTGTTGTGAAGTGGTATTTGTGGTCTCGACGTTCCAGGCGCTGTTTGTTCTTTGCAAGTTTGTACCATGATATCATCAGATCCTCTTTAGTTATCAGTGATGCTATCCAGATATCTAAATCCACGTCTTCCATAGCTTCTTCATCGAATGTGATTTTGTTGCTTGCTTTGTTGTTCTTCATGGTGATTTTTCCTTGTAAATGTTGAGACCCGTTTCAGAAGGCCCCGCCATACTGTTTTTTTAACGTGGATTTACTGTTGTTTATGAGATAGAATGATATGTTATCTACAAAGTTTAAATCACCCAACTGGGTTTAAGATTTCCGCTGTATTTTGTATTCTTCTTGCGATGTGAAAATCCACGTGTTTCAGTCAACAGATAGCAGAAAGAGTTAAAGTCAGAGTAGGGAGTCTTGCATAACACCAGATTACCCTTGGGATGCATCTGTGAGCTGTTAATTGCCAACTCTATTACTATTTTTCACTTATTTGTTTGCTTCTGTATATTTAGCCTGTGTTGTGGCTTTCTTTGCTTTGTTCAGCCGTTGTTGACTCATGCTGTTTTGTTTTTTCTTTCTTGAATCTTGCCCAGGGTGTCTACAGCGATTAATTTTTTATGCTGGTGTTTCTTGGAGCCCAGGATTTCCTAGAATGCTGAAGTTATTCGTGCTTTAATCTTTTCCAGTTCTCCATGTTGTTTTCATCTTTTAATGGAATTTGTTGTTGAGATCTCTTTTGAACTCATTAAGCGTGTTACCATCTGGAAGGTGAGCTGTATTAAACTTTTATAGTGCTGATTGTCCAGGAGGTCAATGCTTCTTTAGCTTCGGTTTTAGCTACATCAGCTGGTCTCTTCCTTCTTACGTCTTCCATGAACCTTCTGAGTTTTTTATTAATCCAGATGTAATCGATCTGGTTTCCTGTAATGTGACTCAGTGAAACCCCTGTAACCTTGTCTATGCGTTTGTTCGGGAAGGTGCTGCTGCCTAAACCATGTTATTGGAAAGACATAGATCTACCAGTCTCTCTCCATTCTTGTTTCTTTTCTCCCAGTCTATTAACCCCATGATGTTTGCGTTATCCATTTCAACCTTGGCATTTAGGTCTTCCATAAGAGTAAACTGGTACCAGTATTTATGTTTTAAAATAAATAAATAAATCTGTTTTTTTCTTCTGGATATTTCTATAGAATGAACTGCAGCTTCACTAAACTGATATTTGTCACCATCGGTGCTGTCATTTGTAGGCGCGTACCAATGAGTGACATCTACTGGAATCCCTCTCTTCTTTGTTTTTGAAAATACTTTGATGATCCTAGATATCGGCTTCTCAGAACTGAGCATTAAAAGACTATTTAACCTGCATTTGGATAATGTTAAATAAATTGATTTATTACTCATTTTTTGAGTATGTTCCTATAATGCCCGTCGACATTATTGTCAACTTCTATCGCAAATGTCTCTCCAAACCTCTCTAGATTTATTCCTATTATTGTTAAGAGTCAGTATACTGGTATTAAAAACTGTGGCTCACATGGTGTTCTGAGAAAACCAATGTCCAAATCATCCTTTAAAATTTAGAAAGCGAAGATTACAATTAAAGTCATTCAGTTGTATGCACCCACCAATGGTAGCTGCGCAGATGATTAGGAACAGTTTAAAGAGGGATTGAAGTTTACAACAATTTTTAATTCATGGAACTTATTCCATAAATGCTGATTAAATATGTATATATTTAGCAGACTTTCTATAATGATAACAAATCATTTATATTATCTATTTAAGATGTTCAGTGACCAAACAGTAATTAACAGTGACACAAATATTGTAAAATGAAGCAGGTGAAGTTTTGTAAAATCTTCAACCGTTATACTTGTTCTACTCCAAATAAAGAGTGCGGCCTGTTTTCGTCATAGACCGACTTTTACTGGTGAAGTATTAAAAGCTAAGGAGCATTCGATATGACTGATTGGAGTTCAACAATTTACAGATCAACACTGGTGTCATCTATATTTCAATAAATAGTCACCACCATTTATTAATAGTCGAATAAAATTGGCTACATGAACCACTAATTCACATGCTGTAATACTTGTTCGTCTTCAGCTCGTTGATCACAGGCACAACTCTGTCACAAACTGGCGAAACAGTCAGTTAACCAGTGCCGCTTGGATTTCTCAACTGAAATCAGTTTGATGCAAAATAGCTTAAAACTTCAACAACTAACTAAAACATGAAAAATATTATTTTAGATTTCAGTTCTTTTTTCTGTCTATAATTTGATTTTATTACACTTTGTTTTGTAGGTTTGTTTTCATGCATCCTGCATGATACATTTGTGTCGTGATGTATTAAAAGCTTTTATTACTCAAGTATTACCGGACATTTGTCCACCAGCTAATAGTTCGACAGAACATATATTCAGCCCATCGTTTTTACAAGCTGTTGAAACGGGCACATTTGATGCACCACGTTGGCCGCCTAGTCAATTAGCTTTCCCAGTGGAAAATAACTTCCTGCAAGATGATTCTCCATTATCTCATGTTTGCGTTCGACTAACAATGACACAATATGCAGAACATATCAACGTTGTTAGACGTTTATCAAGGCAAACTATAAACACACCAAGTACGCTTGCTACAAATGGTTCATCATCATATGCAACTCCTTCAAATATTCCGTCTAATCAAGCTAACAAGAACATTCCATCTAACTATCAAACATAATAACTTCAATGTTTATTTGTTTTTTAATTAATAAAATATTATAACTTTTTGTACAAATTTCTTTTGATTCATATTTTTTTAAAGTTTCTTGATTCTTTATAGTTTAATTTTCATATTACAACTCCATGCTATTTAGTCAAAAAATCATCATAAACATTCATCTCTCTGTAAGTTGTCAAATTTGCATGGATTTCGGTTTTTGGTGAGGTTTTCTTTTGTGGTTTTCGTTTTATCCACACCTCGTTGTTGTGTAATTTCCACACTGCCACTTCGTCCTTAATTTTATATGCATGTGATTGGGTATATTTTACCTGGTGATAGTGAATTTGTGTATTTTACTAAATTATGTACATGCTTGGTGATGTGCATCCGTAGAAATGATTGAAAGGTATTTATCTTCTAATTTCCGTGCTATCTAGAAACAGAAAAACAGTGGAACTGATTCAATTTGAGCGTTGGTTTCTTGTGTGTCTGGCTTTTCAATAGTCAAATCACTTCAAAATAAACTTTTTGGATGTATTAAAGTAAAAGATATTCACCAAACTGAATTACATTTTTGTAGAAAATAGTAATTTTATGATTTTTGTGCATATCTTTTACTGGTGTTAGCTAATGTATGGGCAAATTGTACGAAAACTAATGATGACCAGACTAAAATGTAACATCAAATTATGGGCTTATTGACTTTTGGTCTAAATCATGTTAGTAGATGCATACTGCCTAGTTGCGGGGTCCACATGATGTTTATGATCAATCGTTAGAGACATTAGTGTCATAGGTCAGGCAAATTTACTCCTTATCTTACTCTATATCATGGATTCCACTATTCTTTCACATATATCTCTTCATTTTCTCTTTCCGAATCGTATTCTCAATGTTTAGTCTTACTATGATTGTTACTACATTATTTCGACTCACTAGCTGCTCATGTTGTGGATTTCTTGTCGTCGTGGTATTATGTTATGGTAACAAGATAACACACATTTGTACCAGATTCTACGTTGTTTATGACTAACTGTTATTTTATTACCATAGTATTATTAAATATATTGAGTTGTAATCGGAGAGGGGTTTTGTGGATATTATGTTAATTTAGTAGTCGGGTTCATGAGCTAATTGAAACTAGGTCACCATGGAAAACCTGGAAGCACTAGACGGCTGTTTCTTCTTAGTATGAGTTTTCTCAGCAGTGCGCATTCACAATCCCGCCTCGCGAGATTCGAACCCAGGACCTATCAGTCTGCTGAGTAGTCCCATACTAGGATGAAACGGCCGTCTAGTGCTTCTAGGTTTTCCGTGGTGGTCTAGCTTCAATCGATTGATGAATATTGAATTATATTTACCATCACATTACTATTTCATTGTAAAGGTAGTAGTCAGATCCAGTTTTATCCTATTGATACTCAGTAGTTTGGAAATACTGTCCAATTCTGAATCTATCTATTTAGAAATAGAAATGCAAAAATAGTATTCCTGAAACATGTAGAAGGTTATCTATTGTGGTTTTCAAGCATACGATAGGGATAGCAATCGAAATTCATGAATTAAATTATCTCTCGAATGAATTTTAAGGAAAGAGACGTTTCAGTGTTGCATACTTTGTGCTTGAAAGTGATGTGTGGGCGAGAATGTCAATGATTGGTTGTCTCGATGAGTCAGACATTAGAGGGGATGACAGGTGTTATGTGTTATATATATATTTCCCTATCCTTATTATGTATGGACTTATTGACTGTTCCTTGTTGATGGACACTTATTGACTGTTCCATGTGTCGGATTTTGGTTTGAAATATATTGACGTTATAGTCAGGCTAATATTGTGTTCTTGATCTGAGTTCTGTTGAAGTCCTGTAGAATAGACACTGGGTGGGAATCTAGTGTAGATATTCGTCTAAGATAAATTAACGTCCCACATACGTGTAAGAAGTAAAAGGACTGTTATAACCAGAAACCCCTAAAGTTATAACCAGCATCCTCTCCCTCAGCCCCCTTTACGTTTATAACAGAAAAGTATGGAAGTAATTTTAATATTACTGTCGTTTAATGTAAACAGTATTACTGCAATTCAATGAATTTAATGTTGATATTATATCAGTGTAATACTTTCTTGCCGAATTTCTCCACTGAGATTGTGAAGTATCTCGTTCACGGTTTACTATTCATGTGACGTTTAAAACTTTTCGGCTAAATGTACCCAACAGTTTTGAAATAAACTCCATAATTTGGATTTAAAAATAGAACCATAACACAGTGTTTTCAAATCTGCCTAATGCATCGTACATGCAAATTTTTATTTACGGATTTATAAAACGTTATTTGACTTAATGGAACTGGTTTGTATCACTATTTTGTGTATAAAATAACACTGAACAAAGATATGAATAGTTGGGGTTATGCACATAGTGTAACACATTCTATACTTGTTTGAACGACGGCATGTACCAAGCTTTGTAAATTGCAGACTTTTATACGAACCCTGAAACTAATTTGTTCATTTTTTATTACTTTTCTCCACAAGATTTCCAAAGTTACGTGTTATTTGTAACAAAACTTATGATGTTTGGCTATGTTTATTGACGTCATATTATAAAGTTTCTCATAGATACATTCTTTCGTTGTAATTGGGTCAGATTCGTTTTTTACTTTGATGCTATATCATACTCTTGTTAGTGTGATGTCTACATGATTAGGTTAACGAGTAAATAATTTGACTGACCACTTTCAGATGTTTTACTGGAATCGAATTTCCTCATTGGGACATGTGTAAATCTATAATGTGGCGATTTTACTAAAGATTGGTTTCCGTTAGCACCGGTGACAAAGTATAATTTAAAATCTTGTCTTGGTATCAAAGTTACTTTTATATCATATATTTTGTGACACTACATGGTCTTCAGTCTAACACATGAGTTTTATTATGAACTTTATCTTTATTAACTCTTGGTCTCAGTTTACATTAAAGTTAGTCCTCATCTAATTGCACTCACCGGAAGTGAACGATTTAGTTGGATGATGAATATAAAGTTTGCAATCTAAGTTTTAGCTATTGTTCAATGTTTATAATGTTTACCATAGATGTTGAGAAATCCAAGTATCGAATGAATTTTACTAAATACTCATAGCATTAATTAGTTAAATCAGTTACCACCTTATCATCTCTATTATTTAGCCTCAAATAAACGGTTGTCAATATTTTTTCATGAGTACATAGGAGTGGTCAAGGTCAACGGTGGAAAACGATACCTGACCGATTAAACCCAAATGGTTATGCTGGGTCTTGATTGATGGTTAGAAAGTGACAAATTCATATGCATTGAATGCTATGAAATCAAGGGTGGTATTGGGTAATTGACATTATCGTTAACGCAAAAGTGTTTAACATACACTCAACTGTTAATTATCGTTTGGTTATTAATTACATCCGTTGGTCTTTTGAATATTTATAAATACTAATCATTGGTTCATTGACGTATATTATATGTCATTATCCTGTTATTGGTTGTATTTTGTCTGTTAGTTTGGATACAATTTTAACGTTTACTTTTAACTTATTTCTGGTTGCTTATTACTATTTATTTTGTTGCCTATTTCCTTGTTTTTATTTGCTTCTCATATAATTTGATTCGTGGGTTACCGGTTAACATTGTTCTTGTTCATATTTCCCATTTTTTTCCTAACATTATGAATTATTATTTTCCTACTTTATTTAAAAAAATCGGTATTGATTAAGCTTTTCAGTCTGACTTCAGGAGTGAATTGATAAAATCAGGTAATCAGTTTCTTTTGTATTATGATTATTCTTTGAACTAATCTCATGGTTTTATTTGTAATTTCTTTCACATAAACTGACAGTAGTATTGAATTATTTGTACATAACAAATGTTCATGCTAGGTACACTTCGTTTTGTAGAAGTAGTCAACTATGATTCCGATTGTTTTAATATCGCGATCTAATCGTATATTCTACTTCATTTTGCGATCGCTTCTCTGACCGGTGAACTTATATGTTAGTAAAGAAATAAGATAACTTTTTTCCTGGGATAGCGTCTATTGGTTCAATCTATGCATCAGTCAGTCACAACGTAGAACTTCGCACGTACGCACATCAGTTCGAGTTGCCATACCACATTAGCACAGAGATGCAGATGTCAATTCAAATCCCATAGCAGTAGAAGTAGTAAGAGTATAAGCATTATGTGAAAGATTAGGGTTTGAAGATATTATTGAAGGAGTATAATCCAATGAAATAAATTTAGGAAGAGAAGAGCGATAGAAACATGAAGAATTCAAAAGATTAGAATTTGGCAGAACACAAAGAGTGGATGCATCTTTCGCCATTGCAAACGGTTTTGAGCCATGTCATTCAGAGTCTCTGACCATCGGTTGCTATCATCTCGCGGATCATAACCAGGTAGTCTACACCTTTCAACATGGTTCAATCCATTTGTCAGTGACTTCATGGATTTGTGCCACGTTTTGGTCTGGCGGGCCCTAGCTTTCTTCCAACCTACTCCTACACCATAAAGCATTGCACGTCGGGGCAGTTGGTGGTTGTGTATACGTAACACATGTCTCAGCCATCTCAACTAATGAAGTTTCAACACTTCACCAATCGATTTGCCATCATTACCTAGTACCCGTTTCCTAACAACTGCATTACTTATTCGGTGGCCCCAGGATATACGAGCAATGCTTCGAAGACACCTATGATCGAATATTAGTAGCCTACGAATATCCTCTACTCTTACCGGCCATGTTTCACTGCCATAAAGTAGGATGGAGCGAACTGCTGCACAGTAAACCCGTCCTTTGGTTGTTAGACGAATATCTCGCCTACGCCATAAATGACGCAACTTTGCAAAAGCTAGACGAGCCTTCTGTATCCCTGCTGAGATTTCGTCACACACCAGACCACAAGGGCTGATGACACTCCCAAGTTACGTTAAGCGGTCAACACGCTCAACTACTTCACTCCCTATCATTATTTCAGGTGTCGATGCAACCCAATCCTGAAGTAACATTTTGCACTTGGAGGGGGAGAATCGCATTCCGAACATGCATGCATTTTTGCTTATGGTAGTCAGAAGACTTTGCATTTTGTCAGCGTCTTCACCGAATAAAACTATGTCATCAGCGTATTCTAAGTCAATCTATGCATGCATTCCATTAATTCTATACTATGTTCATTTACTGTAATATTGTGTGGGTTAGTTAAAGAGAAATAATCCTTAACTAATATCTACCAAATATATCTAATAGATTATGTATCATCGCACGATCAGTCTATGTTACCCACTTTAATTGTTTTAAGATGTCAAATCACTTTATTTGTGTAGGTTTATTGGTACAGTATATTCTAAATTTATCCATGAGGACACGGATTCAAAATTGATAGCCGCTATTAGTCTCATCATAATGAATTTACGAATATTTCCGCACTTGATTAAATTCTAAAATCACCAGTTATAATGATAGCTGTGATTCATAGAAACCCTCATAGAATTGGCGGGTTACTTCATAGAATTTTTCCTAGATCAAAAGTTTTTTATCCTAGCAATAATTGCCGGATATTTGACTGGGTTTCTGAAGTTATTTCTTGCGACAACAGTTTTTACTGTTTTTGGATAACACATACATACATAAGTGTAATCGAAACTTGATGACTGTACAATATGTTTGAAACGTAAGAATGTCGTAAATAACTAGAGCTGATTCTATGACCAACAGATACGGTTTTTTTCACGACTAGTTCGGTTTGATGCACTTCAATACCTATTCTGTGGTTGTTCTTTTTCCCTTCGACATATCTGTTATAACTTATGACCTGGATGCCCTGTTAATGTATAACGTGGTAATGCCGCCAATTAGAGAGCGGTGGATTTCTTTCGGACCAATGATACACCAAACCCGTACGATCAGTCTAGAGTACTTGTCGGTCCTGCTTTCTGCCTAGTCTAGCCAGTTAAGTCCAGAACACTAATCTCAGCCTCTGCGGTACTGGGTTTATATACCAAACAGACAGACCACATCGTACCATAAATAGGAAAACAACATTTGCACAAGTTTTAGCGAAATGTGGCTGTGAATGTGGGAGGTAGTAAATAATAGACGGCATAATTCAAGAATGGTAAATCGTGTAACAATAGTTCATAGGTCAAAATAAAACTTATAATTAAGGGGGACATGAATATGAATAGCTTAGTTATTTAACAATTATACAATGAAAATGTACGCGTAGTATTGGTCCATAGATGGATCCCGAAAATTACCATTCGTTATTCTTGTCGGGATATAACAATATCAATCTATTTACTTTATTGCAAATTATCCAATGATTACATCTATCCATAGTCTCAGTATACACGTCAATTGTTTATGATCTGCATAATGAAGCCGGTAGTAATTTTTAGATGTAGTTAAAAGGGATAATCTGTCGAATAAGTAATACAATAAAATCTCATTTTGTAAGGAAAAATAACTACAGTGCTGAAATCTTGCCATTGTATATAAAAATAGAACTCGAGGTTATTTCTATAACCTGTACATGAAAAAATTTCAATAGTGAAATATTTGATATTTACTTGAATATAAAGTAATGTAGGTTGGTTATTGATTCTCATTTTATTTTCTGACATTACCCTCCTGATGTATTAAAGAATTAGGCATGAATATCTCAAATTATGATGAAAAATATGCTTAGTGGATGACTAACTAGTAATCATCCAAATGTCTTAATCTCAACTGTGTCTTTGAATGAATTTCAATCTATAGTATATTTTGCAATTTGCGAGCTTTAAATAGACTAAAGTAAAGAACGAACATACTAGTCATATTGTAGTGAAGAGAACACGACAGGGGACGACCGAATGTAAATAAGCGAAAATTGCAGACTATCTCAGTAAATTCTGAAAACCATACAATGGACAATCAATTTGCAAATTAACAAGAAATAGTCTCGATCTTCACTGTTTCTTCTCTAATTCCATTGTTCGTGCATTTTCCTACCGATTGCGCTCCGTTTCAGTTCTTTCCTCATCGGTTTTCTGCCAAAATACATTCTATGTCTGACCAACACCATATACTACTTATATGGATATAAGTAGACCACAACACAATATCACGGTTTGATTATAGGCATATATAAAGTAACAGTCAAGTATTGTTAGACCGAAAATTCATCCAAAGCAAAGCTAATTTAAATCATTTTAGCCAGCTAATAAAAAGGGAAGATTTAGATTTTGATAGAAATTGAATAAGCGCTAATGCAGACGTCAAAGCATTTTGAAAATAGGAAAGGAATCACTAAACAATCAAGTTAGAGACGCATTGATGTTTCGCTAAGCTCACTATATCAGGTAGTGCATAATGTAGATCTTCATTCATTTGCATTTGAATGAAAATCGTCAGAAAAGGTGATATTGTTGAAGAGGCTTGATTGGGATGAATTGAATCACATTTTGAGCAGACTAGACATAAATATCTTTGATTCAATTTGATTTTCCCTATTATTTCAAAATGCTTCTTTAGAGTTCGGGGCTAACTTGCTAACAAAACAATGAAGAAACTTAACAATCAATAGCTTTAGGGTTGAACGGTATTGAAAGTGTAGTTTACAGATCGTCATCAGGTCACCTGAGATCAAGAAGGAAGATTGGGCTGTTTTGTAAAATTTAGGAATCTTAATCAGGAACTAATTCTTGATTTGAAAATTTTCCAGCTTATTAGTAGAGGAGTATAATTAGGTATGTACTTACTGAAGGGCAAACATTTGTCATTCCTTCTATGTCAGTTGTCATACTTATTCGACTATGATGAAGTCACGAATAGCATACGAATACCAACACACTTGGATTTGCGATTTCAGTACAATGGTTAGTGATTGATAGTCAAAGACAAGTTTAGAAGTGCGTAAGAGCGGTTCGAAGTGAAATAATATTGAATTAAATTGGGGAAACACGGGACATTTCTAATGCATTAAAAAATGATGATTAGAATCGAACTCACTTTTTCTAAATCCACTTGTGTCTTGACATTTGGTACGCAAACTGTCTTCACGGAATCTGGCCAGGAATACAATTGCCAGGTTTTAGTGCTCAAGAATGAACTTTTCTCACGTTTGTCGATCTTGAGGCAACTATTTATAACTTTTAGTTGTAACTTATAAAGATACAAGCTGACAACAGCTCGAGTGAATGCTAAAAACATACGAATTCAACATTGTTTGTCTTTGATAGAATAAGTCTTACAGTATGGAGACTTTGTACATAAAATGTCAGATTTCTCAATTCAAACTACCTTTGCAAACAAGCTTGGTCACATATTAATTATTAAGTGCTAAGCCAAATTTCAGCTAATGAACCCAAATCTAAAGTCATTGAAATAGTTACCAAAAAAGCAAACTGCTGTCTATTCGAATATCATTAGTTGAGTCAGAGCTTATAATAGACTCACCAAAATTGTCGACCTCATGTGGTGTTCATCAGTTCCCTACCGTCTATTCTTTTATTTAATTTCATCATACGTGTTATGGTAGGAATACTTTCTTCACCTGAATGTTCGAGGACTCATCTATCAAGGGGTCTGTCTATAGACTTCTAATACCCAGATGATTTAGTTCTGTTTATTGAGGACGCTGACAAAGTTCAGAGCTTTTTGATCACCTTGAGCAACAGTATAGGCATGTCTGGAATTCGATTCTCACTCTCTTTAGATCTGATCTGCATCGACGCCTGGACTAATGATAGAAAATAGAAGGTTGAGTGGGTCGACCAATTAACTTATCTCGAGAGTCTCGTCAGCCTTGGTATGTTGGCACCTGATGAAATCCCGACAGGGCTTCAGAAAGCCCTACTGACGCTTGCCAACTTATGGGTTAGGCGAGATATCCATCTACAAACCAAAGGGTGAGTGTACTACCCAGTAGTTCACTCAGCCCTACTTCATAAGTGTACAATACCACAATCAAGAACGTGAACTTTAAAAGTAGAGGATTTTTGTAGGCTGTAGTCTTCCATCATGGATGCCTTCGTGTATGTTTGTATCAGTAAATGAGCACTGTTTGGGTTAGACGTAGGGTGTTATGTAAATGTGTCCGGTCGGTTGATAGGGTCAAGAACCTTTATCGAATGAGATGGGTTGGATGTGTGTTACGCATTCCCAATTATGGCCTATCTCGATGGGATATGCTTTGATGTATATGACTAGGGCGGAATAAATGTGACAATGATCCATGAAGTTATTGACTGTCGGTCTGAGCTATACTAATACATACATAGGACCTGGTTGAGATCTGGGTGATAACTATTATCATTGGCTCAAGAATTTGTGTAACATGGCTCAAAATCGTTCACAATGTTGCAGATATATCCATTTTTTATCCCAAACTCCAGTATTCCTCCAAACATGACGTCCCACTCAGTCTTTTCGGACCGTGTTCTCAATGTTCAGATTTAACTATTAGCATAGCTACTAGATTATTTTGGTCTATCTTGAAATTCATCTCGTCGTGCTAATGTGGTATGGTAACTAGGGTCAATGCACATCTGTACCTGGCCTTACTTCGATGATGAGTAACTGAATCAAATTGGATGTTCCGTACAGTGGCAGACGAAATGATAATAACTTACCGAAGAAAATATATTCAAAGTTACAGTCATCTAATTGACAAAGTGAAATATTTTGGCACTATTTATGTGCTACACATCTAAATGAATGATTTGGTAGAACGTAAACGTTTTTATTGCATTTTAACGATTATATCATAAGTGTTTTAATTTTATTTCATGATATCTCATACAATTTCCAGCGCATATTTAAACTGAGTTTATACTTTCCTTGGAACTCAGAAACAGAGAATGGTTATATTATATGGAAAGTCTAGAAAATAGCTCAATGTTATCAGAATTTCGGTCAGTCATGAATAACTTAAGACCCGATGTGAATTTGTATCTGTTCACTTCGTCATACTAAGTATCAACATCCTGAAAAGAGGAATTAAGGAGACGGAAATTCGAAGAACTGACCTTTCCTTTTCATTACAGTAGAAAACTAGATGTGATGAATACGTTTCAAAAGAAACAAACGAAACTAAAAAGTAGAAAAAACATACAGTAAAGTTAAACTCAAAATTTAAAGATAGGAAATTAAACCGATTTGAGTTCATGTTAAATAACATCTTCACTGGCGGCTTCGTGGGTCGAAATCAGAAAGTCTGAATGTTGTAACAGCGAATTCATTATTAGTCAATTATTTCTAACATCAGTTCAGTAATAAACATTAAGAAATGGATACACTCTTCAAAATAAAAAAAGACTAATGAATAGATTAAAGAAAAACTAGATAATGTATAGAACGAGGTTATGATTAAGAGTGGAATTGCCATTTCTAACAAATTGAAGTGGGATTTTATAATGTCAAATCTGTAAGACTATTAAAGTATCAAACGCCATTGTAATTCAATATTCTCTTCGATATTCTGTTTTATGCCTGTTAATTTTATCAACCATACTACAGAATAGTTTCGAGGATATCTCTGACAGAATTATTTTTCGCAATGTTAATCAAATATAACCATCTAACCTCCTTATCTTTATGCTTTATACTTTCTATATCACTTATTAACCATGGAGTAATTGTTGCTCTATTAATAAGCAGAATTTGGTAAAATAATCCAATTAAAGGAGAAAACGTAATGATTCATACTGAATTAATTTTTTTTATTTTTCAAAATTTTATTATAATTAGTGAATTACCAATTTTTTTTCCATCATTACTTTAGATTTCAATCAACTGAAGTCGACTTATACAAAACTATTGAAACAATGTAAGATATGGTCTGATAAACTTGTTAGAGAATTGGAAACTCGTAATCATTTACTTAATCAGTTACATAATACTTATGGAAGTATTACTTCTTTACTACAGGCAGATTATAAAAGAAATGGTAAAGGAATAATAAAGTTTTTAGATATTTTCTTATTTTACTGTTTGTTTATATATTTGTCCAATTGTTTCATTGTCTTCCATTTTGTATACCTAAAGTAGAAATTCGACTTTTCTGTGAATACTTTCTGTTAGAAATGATTCCCTGTAATGAAGTTTAGAAAAAATATTGGCAATTATTAAATAATAAATAAAGTATCATAGGACATTAGAATGGATTTAGCTGAGTTCATGAAATTGGAATTTATCAAACACTATTTGCTGTTTCTCAGTTTAACAGCTTTAGTTGATTATGAGATTCATAGAATGTTTTATAAAAGCCTGTATATTGCAAATTTACTGAGTTTCTAGGATTACTAGAATTTATACACTATGGGCTATTTTAGATCTAAATTTCAGTAAAGTTCAGTTTACATAATTTTATTTAAAATATTCCCAATGAAGAATGAACTAGATCATATTAATTTTTTATAACTAACCGTCATTAATCCAATAGTTAAATGTTTCAATTTACGTTTGACTACTTATAAGTAAGCAAATGTTCTCTAAGTAGTGTTTAACTTTTCCATGCTATCAAGTAGCTGATCAGGTGTATAAATTTATACTCTGTAACTAAATAAATTATTACTAATATTAGCTAGTAAACTGAATACGTTCCATATTTTTAGAGTTTAAGGATAGATGAGTTTAAAAAAACAGGTTTCCAAACGCCTAGCAGGACTGACTTAAAATTAGAATTATTACTGCAAAGATGATGGCTAACTAAACTTTTCACTAAAATATGAAATGTCAACTGAATTATTTCAATGTACTACAAGTGTAGATTCAGTGCTTATTATACAACTTAATTTTTCACTTTTAACTATGAACTCTGACATTTCCTTTAATACTCGTATCGTTACTCTATTCGTACAATCGTTTGATACGATCATATTTTATCATAGGCTAGTCATACTATAGTTTGCCTCAAAACTTTAAAAAGTATTTTCATGACATTATTAACACTTTGATATATATCCTTTATTGCAGATGCTTGACACTCAGTGATTTTAAAACTTTTTCAATAAAACGACTAATCTATAATGAGGTAATAGTTTACTCTAAGGTTAAACTTTTGACAGCTTTTTGAATATTTGTGTCAGAGTTCTTCTCTGTTTCGATTTATAGTCTCTACAATCCTATCTTATGAAGAACTATTTAAAGTATAATAAAATCCTTTTCGGGGGATATCTTTTCATTTATGTTAACGAGTGATGGATAATATAAATTTTTCAAAATCGTTTTTGAACAGAAGTATAAGTCTATTTTCTAAAGAGTTTTAAGTAACTTTGGATTAAATGGGTTAATTAGTTTGTATAAGCTTCGGTGTTTACCCGAATAATGGAAGAATCATTGTCCGACACAGTTCGAAAGTAGTTTCTTTATGAAACATGATGAAGATTATTTATTTTATATGATGCCTTGTTAGAAGTTTAAAATTCTTGATATGCTATTTATTGTGAAAAAAGGCGAAATGAAATGAATGAATAGACTGATCTTATACAAATCATTGAGTTAGTGGTGATATTGTTGTAGTTGGAAACAAATTTCTAAAAGGAAATTTATGTTGTTTGATTTATTTACTTCGTAACTTCTTATGGGAGAACTTATATGAAACTGAAGATTTTAGAGAGCTGAGACCACTAATGTTGAGCCATAATGTTGTGATTTTCAGCCTCAGTTCTTTAGAGGATGGATATGTAAACTGTTCCCATTCAATATATCCCAACGTAACATAATAGAATAATGTAGTTTTTCAAATTTATTGCTTGTGTAATGGATGTGTTTGAGAACACATTTTTCTTGAAATTAACATTTAAATTCTTGTTCAATAATTGTCATTTAAGACGAAGAGCAACTTATGATTATACTAATTCACTAACAGTTTCAGTTCAGAAAACACATCGTATTAAAATTCACTCAATGTTATTTGGTTAAAGGGGAATGAATGGTTTATGTTTTTCCAGCGTCTTGTAATAGCAGGTCGCTTGTTTTTGTATGGACAAATTAAATTTATCCTCAATTTTATTCAGTCTTTTATTTGTAATCATATTATCTACGATAATACAATGACCAATCAACTAATTAAATTGAGTAGTAACAAATCAATTTTTACCACTCCATGATTGGCTGTTTTTATTCGACCAATGATACGACAATTTCGCTGAAGGTTACTTTTACCTAAAATTCAACTCACATAAAAACATCTGTAGACCTACTTCGAAATTTTTTACAGTTACATCTTAGAAGCAAGCTTATTTGGTGATGCGCTGATGCATTTAGCGTGATGTAGACTTTTTTTTCTGAGAGTTAGTCTTAGAAATATATAAATGGAGATGTCTGAAGTGAAGCAAGAGAGGAATTCAAGGATGATATCTCATCCGAATAAACGAAATAGTCAACAAAAAAAGTTTTATTCTAAATATTCGACTCGTTTATCACAGAATCCTAACAACAAAGGTACTCATGGCCGTAGAGGACCTGGTTTATATCGATCAACAGTGAATGAATCATCATTAGAACAAACTAACATATCACTAAATCTACTTCATAAACGTTTATTTAAATTTAAACCATCATTAACTCCTGGACTTGGTACAAGAAGAGTTATTTCTACAAACTCAAGTAAGGTTTTATATAAAGTTTTCATTTTAAGTGTTATAGTATGGGATTTCTTTATACAGTATAGTATTCGTTTACCATATACTAAATATATTCTCTATAAACCTTTCACATTAGAATATATGATATTATGCTCACAGCAAAGTAAGGTTTAATTTGCCTTTAAATGCGATAATTTTGAGTTAATATAATCGTTTGAAATGTTCCTAAACGTTGTTATATATATAATTTGTTGGGGTAAATAATTATATAGAGTTGTGATGTAGGTATTTCAAATTTATTTTTATTAAATACTGGTATATTTTATTGTTTACAGTACTTTGTTTGTTTGTATTTCGTTCTGAAATGCTATTTTGGTCAAATGCTTAATCACTTATTGATTACCCGTATACACATTTGTTTCGTTCCACTTTTTTGTTGGACAATAAATTCTGCATATTATTAAAGTAGTTGGATACTGTTGGTAGTCTTCTGTGAGTGAAAGAGTTGAATATATTAAAAATATAAGTAATACCATGGGATAAAACTTAAGACTATGTAAGGCTTTAGCGTGCTCTACACTATTTGTTTCAAAGTAGGTTTAGTTGATTGTCATTTTACAGTGACGCTAATAGCCACTTTTGTAAATCAGTTTAATGACCTTTTATTGATCCAATGAATTAATAGAAGTTTTTAATGTTTATATTGATGACCAGTTTAGATAGCAATAGACTTTTACTGAAGAAAGTATTATCAAGTCTTACATTTAAAGGAATCTTCTGTAGAATAAACTGAGTTGAAAGTGTAATATTTCACCCTGATAAGCATTTCTTTTTAAATTTTGATTAGCATGGTTTTTTATCAAGTTTTCCAAACACAAAAATATTCCTGTAACATTTTGAAGCTACTCTTTAATATATCATAAAAGTATTTTTCGAAATAACACTATAGTACTGTTAAACTCAGTCTTTAGGGACCTGTAATCTCATTTTCAATTATCAAACTGATGTATCTAATAAAGTTTCCTTTGTGAATATGTTATGTTTACTATGTTTCTTGAGTTTAAACTTACTATTAGCGCTCAGTTGTTTATCACATTTTAGATGTACTTTAGTGAAAAGAAGAAATATAGTGTTTAATATACAGATTTTTTAGGTTTCGATCTGCGTAGGTTTATGATATTTAATTTGTACTTTTTGGGAAAATTATGAAGCTGTATTATTTGATGTATCTGACATAAGTTTAGTATAAGTGGGTGAGATTTGCATGAAGTAGAAGGGTTAGTTTGGACAGAAGTCAAGTGAGGGTGGTATAGACAAATAAAAGCAATACCCCAGTTTATTAAGTAATTAGACCATGTGAGTACTCAGGTTTAGATGAGAATGGAAAACTCAACATTGGTTTTAGAATGACAGTTTTAAGTAAAATGTTGTGGTACTGATCTGTTCACGTATTGTATTATCATGCAAACTCGACAAACAATTATTTCAGTCACATGTATTCTTGGTCCTCTCATATTTCCTTTCGTTATCTTTGGTTTTTTGATCCTTCCTTTTCTTCCTTGTTGTCAGTCAGTAGTAAAATAACCTAAACTAATGCATTATTAATTTACTCAATGAATTGGTACACTAGTTGGGCATTTATTAGACTGACCGGTGTTTTGCGCCTATCATCATACATAGTTAGAGTGAATTTACTTTATTCGTAAACTTCATTAATAAATATTTCATACCCTACTGCATTCATTTATTATCATAAAAGAGTCCTTAAGATTTAGGTAACTAGATAGATTACATGATATGGCTTATCTTTATTCAAGTCTTGATAGTTTTTTGTATGCCACACTTATTTGTTCGTTACCCTTTCATATCGTTTTATTTGGTAGTGCCTTGTTTGAGCTCAATAGTTTAAATGCAAAGCTTTGACTGTTGTTTTGGATAACATCAGTTTCTACTTCAAACAAACAGTCTTACTTAGAAAGAGTAACACTAACACTCTCTGGAGTAATACGCTCTCATTTGATCTTACTCTGACCATTTGTGTGTTGTTGATTTTTAATTACTTTGATGTTTCCTTGTAAAATGACAATACATTTTATTCTGCTTATACACTAGTATACGTAAAGTGAATTTAGGTTTTAAATTTTATGCTACTATGTATATATCATTATCTTTTAAATCAACAGTGTAAATAATTACTGTTCATGGAGTTACTATTGAGTTCATAGTTTAGTTTGAAATTTCTGACATCGTGAAATGGACATAGATTTTCATCGTGAACAAACGTCAATCAGACGAAAGTAAAATCTGAAAACCTTAACTGAAGTAACTTTAAAAAACTGACAAAATTTTTAAATAGTGAAGTATTTCCACGACGCAAGACTGAAATTTATCTTGTGAAGATCTGTTTCGGGCTACGTTTATTCATAATGCTCACACATTTATTATACAAAATTTATGGGAAAGGTTATAGCTAGTAATTTAACTTGTCCTTACTCTGTTTAATAAATGTACAAAGAGTTAAGAAATAAGACCTGTAAAATTCCAGAAACTTAGGTATTATGACTCCTTACTTTTTAGTTGTATGTTAATTACACTTTTTCAGGGCAAGATACAAATCTTAAATTCAGTATGGAGCCTCGATTAGGTGATGAAGCATTCACTGAATGGATTAATGCTGTACGTCGTATGGCTCGTATAGGAGATGGTTTACCATCAGCTATTCGTTCACGTGTATGGTCAACTCTTGCAGATAGACAATTGGCTAAGCAACATGTCGATTGGGATCACGAGACTAAAATGGCTTTCAATGAACCATCTAATCAAGATGATGATAGATTAGGTGAACAAATTGTAAAAGATCTACATCGTACAGGATGTGAACAATTCGAATCAGATTCAGATCGTGCATCGTTGAAACGTGTTCTTCTTGCTTATGCTCGATGGAATAAACGAGTGGGTTACTGTCAAGGTTTTAATGTAATAGCTGCTGGTGTGCTGGATGTTACTGGTAGAGATGAAAAAAAAGCATTCAAAGTAAGTGCGAAATCATATGCTTTAAAAATAATCATATGTTAACTTGTACAAAACATCTCATGTGTAAACTCCCTTCATTATGTTTGATGATCTTGATCAACTATCTGAGAAAATTAACACTCATTCTCTTACATTATTAACACTATAGCTATATAATTATGGTCAAATAGACTTTATTTATCAACTTTTAAAGTGTTTGACTGATTTCAGAGCTCCTATCTCTGTACAAGAGGTTATTTAAACAAATCTTGATGCAAAAGCATATTGAAAGATTATGAGACTACAATAATAGCAGAATAAATAGAAATATTACACGTTAATTGTTATTTTTATGTATAAATCATTTATATCTAAAATTTCAAGGGTCATATTGCCAAATTGTCTATATCTATAGATTAAAATTATAAATATTAATCGATTACGTTTCTAAAAATGACATGTTCATTCTTGTCCAGTTTATTTTGGTATCTCATTTATCAAAATACACTTCACATTGTTTTCTATGTTTGTTTCACAGAATAGAATCGGGTTTTTAAACCGTCTTATTTTTCCAACTAGAATACCTGAATTACAATTGCTTTCAAATGAAATTTAATTATCCTACACTGTTTATTATTCGAAGTTTTGTTTTGCAATGAGGTCATTAAATGAGAAAATTTACTCTACCTGTCCTAATAGTGATATTTTTGCAAATTATCAGCATATAATTGTAGTATGAAGTTAGTTATGTCATAATTCTATTGACGCAAAATTGGATCGGTCATATGAGTACTCAAGTTTGATTCTTATTATTTTTTTTATATTCAGCTAAATTGAAGTATACCCTTTGAAAAGTTAGACTTGAAAAACAAAATTCCTTTTGACATGAATAATGTCAACCTTAAATTATGCATTGTTTTTAAATACTATTTTATTAAATGTTATCATGTCGCATACTGTAAAATGAAGATTACTTGCATTGTTGACGATTGATAAACAAATCATTAGTAGATTCTTCCTTTACTTTTCATATTTCAATTATCATTTTAACCTTAAATAACTTTACTGATGTAAGTAAATAGGACATTAAAAACATTAATTTGCATAAAAAGACTATTCAGGGAAGAAAATGTCTTTTTTACCGATATTAGTTTCTTTTGAGGGGAAAACTGTACTTTTATGCATATAACTGTCACAATCGGTTAATTAAATTTTTTTCTGTATGACAAAACGTTGTTTGAAACTACTCGAGAATCGTTTCATCTCAGTTTAAGACTTTCCACCATTATGCGCTCACTAAATGACACAAAGTTGAATCCAGATCCTCTTAAGCACGATACTTAAGGCTAATTATTTAACCATTGCTCTTTTACTTTGAATAGTTATTTATCTGATATGAATTCATTATAAAAATTATTTTCACATTGTACGAAATAATCAAGAAAAAAAAACACCATGACGGATAAAAACTTATTTTTGTGGAATTAATTATGATTACATCATTAATGAAATATTCGAAAGTACCCATAAACTGTTTCTAATGAAAATTGACAAATAATCTACTAAATGTTGATAAACTAAAAATATCGTGAACACGATATTGATGAGTAGTACTTTTAAGTAAAAAGTAGTATAAATTAAATATTCATTTTAATAAATTCGAAGAAATTGAATTAGTATTACCACATGATAGCATTATTAAAACGAAATTTGGGGGGGGGATAATATAAGCTTCTCTTTTGAATAATCTTTTCTTTTAATGGTTTGATAGCTAGGTTTTATTGTATATATTTTGTCGTTGAATGTATAATACCAATAGTTTACGTTGTTCAGCAGTTAATCATCATTATTATTGATATTGAGGAATTCAACTAAGACTTGGGTACATTTGATCGATTGTATTGTTTATTATGGTAGAATCTATTCTAATTGAATTAGCATAGCGATAGTAAGTCATTCTCTATGTTTTCTTTAACTTACTGTTCAGTACTTTTAGTACATTTGTTTTTTACTCAATAGTTATGATTCACAATAATGAAATAACACTCTTCGAGTAGATACGTTACGTAATAATTATATAATAACATATCGATTATAAACTAACATTAGTTAATTGGAAGAAAGAGGATTAATACTAATCAAAGTTATGATTCGAAAATCAAGCTGTTGCTATGTTGCATAATATACAAAAGAGAAGAAAGAACTAACAAAATATTTTGATGAATGGTCAGTAATATAGTAGTTATGTAAGAATCAAGACACGAATGTAGAGAATAAGTGAAATACAAAAATACAAAAATGGAAAGAATAAAATAATTTTTTACCAGAGTTCTGCTAAAAACTCCGCCATACCGATGGCCAAGGTAGCAAGAGTAGTTGTACAAACTTCTTTTGGATACAAAGGTTCGGTTTGTGAATGTGGATTGTGATGGCTTCAGCTATGTGCAACAGACGACTTCGTAAACCATGAGGCAAATTTGATGGAATATGATAGATAACTTTAAAAGCTTTATTCAGTTCAACTTGATGACCTGTGTCCATCAAGTGAGCGAGAATAGAACTCTTAATCACCTTTACCTGTCCTTTACTCAGAACCACGACGGATGGTGTTCTGTTATTCGTTGACGAAAAAGTAACTTTGATTAGTATTAATCCTCTTTCTTCCAATTAATTAATGTTAGTTTATAATCGATATGTCATTATATAATTATGATTTAGATATTGTTTTTCTTTAATTGTTAACAAAATTATGTCATCAAAATGCAAATTATCTAGTGAAGATTAAAAAAGATAATTGTAATATATCAATCAAAAGTTTAGATAACTATGCTCAAATTCAATTTAAAAAAAACCCAGCTCAGTTACAATCACTTTTCTTACTTTTCTAACTTCTTGTTTTAAAACTGTTATGATTTTGATTTCCCAATTTTATTTTTCCTCGTTTGAATCATAATTCTTTTGTTTGTTATATTAATATTTTTGATCTTGTTGTGTTTTCTTTCAATTATACTGATATAACATATGAAACATTGATCCGATTAAACATTTGCACCTAAATCTTATATTGTTTAGGACTAATTCACCATGTAACTTTCCTACGCTTACATTTTTATTGTCTACAGTTTCTTTGGTCAAATAAGAAAACATTACAATAATATATATTTTTTTGTTATAGATCATGGTCTATCTAATTGATTATGTTTTACCGGAATCATATTTTGCACAAAATTTACAAGCATTATCGGTAGATATTGCTGTTTTCCGACAACTTTTACAAAATAGAATACCCGAATTAGCGAATCATTTAGATCATTTACAATTCAAAGCTGGTTAGTTCGCTCTTTTTCAAAATTTTTTGTTTTTATATTATTAAAAGGTCAATATGTATCAGTCGTTTGATGTTGTATTTCATGGCGGACACATTAATAAATATTTTATTATCAGTATGTGGGTTTTGAAGATTGCTAAATATTATTAAGAACATGAACCAAGCTGAGTTGGACAACTAGTGAAAACCTGGCAGTATTAGGGAACTTTTTCTTCCTAGTATTGGACTCCTCGTCAGTACTCATCAGCAATCCAAACGTCGAGGATCAAGCCCGTAACCTCTGGTCTTGCACACGAACTCTTAACATTTGGACCACTGAGACGAGATTCAGTGGTGTACAAGTTTAAATTCAGTCATATTGATTTGTCGAACTACTATTTTCCGTTGTATTTAGTGAGTATTTTCTTGACACGGCAGAACTCCACTTCTCATGGCTTCTTACCTGAATGCTGGAGGTTTTCTCTCGAAGCTGTTCACTGTTGAGCACATGATGCTCATCTGTACTGAGGCTGCTGAGGTTGTTCGGTGTTACCGAGAAGCAGTGAAGAAAATTAAGACGATGTAAATCAACAGTTGAGATGATACTATCAAAAGTAGTGCATAGTCCAAAAGAACTAGATAAGATGGAAGAATAAAAAGCAAGGCATAATGCTTGGCTCAACATTTATTGGGAGATATGGACCGAATATGTCTACTCAGCTGACGCCGATTTTAATCCAAGTCAATGAAAGTTTTCAATATTGAATCCTGCTAATTTGGAGCAACTGAAATAAATATTTTTCGACAGTGTAATAAGAAAACGAAGATTATCAGAATTATATGATATATTAGCGCAATATATTTCGAACAATCTGATCACATATATACTTGTTAAGAGCATTTACACATAAAAATAAAAGGTCAACTAGACTAGAAATGGAGGGTAAGAGGCGACAATGATGATAAAGAAATAATGTGAAAACAATTTGAAACTTAATCACTCTGGTTAATAAGCTAATATTACCAGGGAAGATTCGACCAAACAATACCAAGTGGATTCAAACTTCACCCCATTGCACAAGCAAGTGGCTATCAGGACTCATGAACTAAGTGGATAACGCGATGGCTTTTCAAGCGAAAGATACTTGGTTCCAGTTCCAGAGTGAACATCAACTCTGATATGCAGGTATGTCCAGCTGACGAGTCTCAAATAGGACGAAACGTGCGTCCTGGATTCCACTGCTAGACACTATCCATCTCTGCTTATAATGCTGGTGAATTAAGGCTATATTGAGGCAATAAGCACAATATGCACATACGCCATTAAGAAACTGTTCAATTGCGCTCCTAAACATCAATAGGAAGATTCAACCAAACAATACCAAGTGAATTACCAGGGTAGGTTTAAGATGAGAACAAACTATTTTGGAATACACAGAAGGGGGTTTAATTTTCGTATGGCTAAGGCTGTAATAAACCTTAGTATACGTCCTTTTACACTTTTGTACAGCACCACAAAAGCCAAGTTTAGATAATCTTATGGCCTATTTCAATTATGTGTTTGGCAATGGAGGACGATGGATGTTTATCCTTCACTCTTATTGGGTCATTTGATTTTATTTGTTTCTGCAACTATTTAGATGCATGTTCACACACCCTAATTTGGAAATCACGATTACTCCTCCCTATGTATGTGTGACTACACACACATTTAAATTGGTAAACACAGTGGGATGTGACGCAATCGTTCTCATGTCTCTTAGGAATTTCATGAGGCATGAACCTTGTTCCTTCTTTGATAATGACCTTTGCTGCATAACACGTCTTGTTATTGACTGATTTAAGCCTTCGTTTAAATAAAAAGGCTATTTGAACCACCTCTTATTGGTAAGGTGATGTAGACAAGCTTTTTTTTCTGCCAAGGCTACAGTAGGTCTCACTGTACCATGAACTTTCCATCTATTTATGAATCTAAGGGGTTATCCATTTCCCATCAACGTGTTGTTTAATAGCCTAACATCATCATCAATAGCGTCGTTTGTACAAATACGGTCAGGCCTGTTAAATAGACACCTTATCAAACCCCGTTTGTATTGCACAGGGCAATACTTATAATAACTAAGGTATTGGCCTGTCCACGTTGGTTTTCTAAAAATCGATCGTTTAATTTAGCCATCTTCTCGTCTACTTAGAAGTATATCTAGGAAGGGAAGCTGGTGGTTCTTCTCCTTTTCGCATGAAAGATTGATGTGGTCTTAAAGAGTGTTAAGTTTATTCACTAAACAGTTCATATCCTCCTTTCTTTCACAGACAACTGAGATGTTGTCTGCATATCTCTTATAAAGTGACATGTTTTCGACTAGGCCTTCAGCCAGATTTTCAATATGTGCTATGAACACATCTGTTAATAATGGTCCTAACAGACTAACCATAGCAACCTCATCGATCTGGCGAAAGTATTCACCTTTAAAAGTGAACGGGATTTTTTCAGTGCATAATAGTAGTAAATCCTCAAAATTTTTTTAATGGACAGGTAATTTAAAGTTGTTTAAATATATGTAGTCACATAATATATCAATAGTCTTTTTCAAAGGTACATTTGTGAATAAGGAATTCACGTTAAATGAACATATTGTCTTTCCCTTGATATTAATATTACCTAAATGATCGACCAATTCAAAAGAATCCTTCAGAGAATGCTTACATAAACGTCTTCAGATAGGATCATTTGATTTTACACCGACTGATAGAATATTGTACAACATGATATGTTTCCAATGTGTAGCTTTTGTAATTAACAAAACAGACTAACTTACCACCAATATTAATAGCAATGAGAGTAGAATTCAAATATTTCCACATAACCACATACCCATTGAACAAGCTCGTGTCAAACCATCTAGCAAGCAAGTGAAGAAGAGCATTAGAGCTGACAAGCAGAAATATATGGGAGAACTAGCAACGATGGTGGAAAGAGCTGCAAGAGAAGGGAATATGAATTAACTATATGATACAACGAAGAAACTAGGAGGGAAATATAGCAAATCATAGAGACTAGTCAAGGGCAAAGAAGGAAAGACAATCACTGAGATTCAAGAACAGAGGAAAAGATGGGCAGAATACTTTGAGGAACTGCTGAATAGACCAGCCCCATTGAATCCACCGAACATCGAAGCAGCCCACACAGACTTTTCAATAGATGTCACTCCATCAACGATTGAAGAAATCAGGATGTCCATCAGACGAATCAAGAATGGGAAAGCAGCAGGACCTGACAATATACTAGTGGAAGCACTGAAGTCAGACAATGAAGTAACTGCAAGCATTCTTCACCTTCTATTGAAGAAGATTTGGGAGGAGGAACAAGTGCCGGCAGACTGGAAAGAAGGACTACTCATCATGATACCAAAGAAAAGTGATCTGAGCGAATGTTTGAACGACAGAAGCATCAAACTACTGTCAGTACCAGGAAAAGTCTTCAGGAGAGTTTTGCTGAACCGGACGAAAGACGTAGTAGGCGCTCGACTTCGAGACCAACAGGCTGCATTCCGTAAGGATCGGTTGTGCACAGACCAAATTGCGACACTACGGATTATCATGGAACAATATATATATATATATACATCATATACATTGACTATGGAAAAGCGTTTGACAGTGTGGGTAGGAGAACATTATGGAAATTTCTTCCACACTATAGAGTTCTTGAGAAGATTGTCAACATTATCCGGAACACATACGACGGACTATAGTGCAAAGTCGTGCATGGAGGACAGCTGAAAGACGCATTCCAAGACTAGAGTCAGACAAGGCTGTCTAGTCTCCCCCTTCCTCTTTCTTCTGGTGATTGACTGGATTATGAAGATCTCGACATCTGAGGGGAAGCACGGAATACAATGGACATGTCAGGATCAATTAGATGATTTGAACTTCGCAGATGACTTATCCCTCCTATCTCATACACACGAACAAATAAAGACGAAGACAAAATATGTAGAAGCAACCTCTGCATCAATAGGCTTCAACATACAAGAAGGAACAAGCAAGATCCTTAAATGCAACTCGGCTAACACTAACCCAATCACACTTGATGGAGAAACCCTGGAAGATGTGGAGACATTCACGTACCTGAGAAGCATCATTGATGAACAAGGAGGATCTAATGTAGATGTAAAGGAGAGGATTTGCAAAGCAAGGGCCGCATTCCCACAGTTGGAGAACATATGTCTTGCGCTAATACATCATATAGTTCTGATAATCTTCTTTTTCTTAATACACTATCAAAGTTTGTCAGAGGGACTAATTGCTTTAATTAGTTTTTGTCTCTTGACTAAGTTTAGGCCAATCATGGACTGATGTTATGTTCTCTTATCACCAATCATATCCTTATTTTATTCTGATTCTACCCTAGTACCGTCGTGCTGCAGGGTTTAGTGTTCCACTATTTGATATACTATGTATTATTATCAACTTCTAACCTTGGCATTTATGGTTCGAGAGTATACTATATATGAACAATTTTTCACATCCATAAAGTTAAAAGTAAAGAACACACACGCACATTGCTACATAGGTAGTGCAGGGCGGCAAAGCCAAAAAAGGGTTTAATGGTGATGCTGAGATTTAGTCATTTCATATGACTTACTGTTAAGAGTGGAGTAAGAGCGCATGGTCGATCCTGAAGACCAATATCGAGTGGTCGCTGACTAGAAGTTAGCAGTCAGGGAATCGACATCTAAATAATTTACTTTCATTTAGCTGTATATTGCCAGCAACCACGATGCCTCCGATTGGTTTTTTAACTTGTACAACGGAAGGTTGTAAATTTTTCATAAACGCGCCTTAATGGGTTGTGCGATTAACAAATATAATGATTTGTTAATATAAACAAAGACAGATAACTTGTTGAAATAACTAGAGAGCAGAGACAGGTAGCCCAGATGTTCAAACAGGCTTACCATCATTTAAATGACGACAGCCGTTTGTCTTGTTGTTTATTTAAAAAAAATCATATATATATATATTCATTTAGATCTAGTCTGTTATTTAGATATTTCTTTTGTTTTTCAAACTCCGAATTAGTGTTTACGCAATTAAGTTTAGGCTTTTGTTTTGTCTATATTTACTTACTGTTATCAGTGGTAAGTTGTACGAATCCACATGCTTAGCTTTCCTCTGATACTTATAAATAGTTGCATTTATAAGTAAAAACATTTTTTCTGATTATTATTTATTCTCCGCTTGTTAGAAAGAATCCTTTAGAATTTTATAATAATCAGACCAATCTTCTCTAAATAATCTGGAAACACTCAACTGTCTAATGTTATATAAATACCTATATGGTTTTCTCTATTTATTAACTAGTTCACTCCCACCTCCTACGTAGAGAATAAATTGTTTTGAAGTTGTTTGTTGACTGGCTTGGAAATTATTAAACCAATTGAATTTATCGAACCAATGAAACATCCGGCTGACGAGTCCAGAATGAGGCGGAACTCACGTCCTGGACTCCATAGCTAACCACTGTCCACCTTTGCTTACATTTGAAATAGTTTATCTTCTCTTCCAATTGTGTTTATATGGCTATGTATGTATACCAACTAGTTATTCATATGTTTGTTTTATTATGCATTCATGATAGCTTTGGAAACAGACTGTCAGCTGACTGGAAAAGAATTATCTACATATAAACAAGATATTTTGTCGGGAAAAAATCATGGCGCTTATGAACCTCCATTAATGAATGTTTATATCATTCAATGGTTTCTTACTTTATTTGCTACTTGTTTGGCATCTGATGCAGTTCTGCGTGTTTGGGATAGCATATTGCTAGAAGGTTCTGAGGTGATCTTGCGGACAGCTATAGTCATCATGGATTTCTTGAAAAGGTATTGCAATATATGTGTTATACTGTAAAATCGATTATATGATTATAACAATAATTATGTGTGACAAATGTAGTCAAATTGCTGCTTTAGTGTTATATAAGTGAGATTAGAGTTTTAATAAGTTGTGAAACATCATGTAACCTTTTCTTTTGTTTAAAAAATAAAATAACAGAATTCATTGCCCAAAAGAAAATACAAAGTGGATTTCTTTTGTAGGCATCTAATTATGATCAAATTACTATTCTCAGCGGTCATAAAGTTTTCACTTCTGAATAAATCTTAAACTAATAACTACACGCGCGCTATTTAAAAAGGACAGTGGTATTTTTCCTCGTTGAGTAAATTCTATTGTTTTGATCGTTATTAACGTATCAAGACTACTGTTTTTATACTTTGATTGAATTTCTTTCAGTTAAAGTATTCTATTAGAGTATCATCTTTGGTATCCTAAATAGTTTTATCGTCGGTACTCCAGAGTACCATTTTTTTCCATTGTATCTGTTAGTACTTTGGTCCTAACTGTTTATAGTTTTTTTTTTCTACTTATAGTCAACACTCACTTTCACATCTTAAGATGACTGGAAGATGCAACAAAAGTATTTGCCACCGCCCAGGATGTCGATATCCTGTTGATAGCGGCATGCATTGCGATGAGTGCAAAGGTTGGTACCACGATGTTTGCACGAATCTAACACCTGCAGCTTTCAAGCGGTTTAGTAAAAATGGATGTGTATGGCTATGTCAACAGTGCTGTTTGGATGCAAATAGCCTGCTAACCGAGGCCATTTCAATAGTAAATGCCGCAAAAAAGTGTCTCGGCAAGCGCGGTCGGGATACATCAGTCAGAACTCAATCTGTCGGCACGCAGATTGACACAAGGCAGGCCCAAGTGAGTCCAAAAACTGCCGACCCACACCCTACTAAGGAGGAAGAACATCCTCCAAAGAGGACTGTTACAACCAGAAACTCGCGCAAAAAAGTCTCTTCTGTCCCTCGTATCAAAAATGGTACCCAGAAGGGAACTTCAGGAAGCCGAAACCGCAAGGCTCGATCGGTTTCCAGCGCGAAAGATGACCCGATCTCCCAAGTCGTCCTGACTCTTCCGGAATCCCACAGTACGCCTGACGCGAATGTGGTTACCACTCCAAAGAACGTTGGCGATTGGGTACGGATCGTAAGAAAAAAACGCCAAAATGACGTAAAAGGAAGTCATACCCCCACCAAAAGGGTCGACAAGCCGAGGTCTGATCACAGCGACAGATCAGTCATTCTCCATAGAGTCAAGGAGAGTGACAACTTAGAACCGAAAGCTCGTTTTGAGCATGACATTGTGTTGATAAAACAACTACTCAACCAAGTTATGCCCAAAAACATCCCCGGAGTCACCTTGCTAAAGGTGTATAGATTAGGAAATCTAGCGCATCTAAAACCAAATCAGTCTAGACTACTCAAAGTCGTTTTCAAATCCTCAAACGAACGCGACTTAATCTTAGAAAATGGACACAAATTAAAGGGTTCAGGAGTTTTTCTCCGTAAGGACTTACCGTTGGCGGACCGTGTTAAAAGACGGGAAGCCGAAAAGGAACTACAGCTCAGATTAGACGCTGGCGAAAAAGACCTGAAAATTGTAAATTTTCGGGTTGTGAGGCTTCGACAGAGGATGATGCCGAAGCCACTCTGGGTGATGCACCAGGCCACCTAAATAGGCTTCGGATCTGTTATACCAACGCCCGGAGCTTACTAAATAAGCTACCGGAACTAGGTGTACAGATTGACTCAACTAGGCCAGACATAATCGCAGTCACAGAAACATGGCTGACGCCGTCTATAGATAGTAGGGAACTTGATTTCGAGGGTTTTACATTGGTAAGGGCCGATAGAATACAAACGCGTAAAGGAGGGGGAGTAGCTCTATTCATTAGGAATGCTATTCCATTCACCATTATCGACAGTGTATCCCATGAGAGTGGGACGTATGAATTAGTTTGCTGCCGCCTGAAATGCAGGGGACAAGAGTTACTACTTAGTTTGATCTATCGCAGTCCAAGCTGTGAGGCAAACGAGGTCCTGCTAAGCAGTCTCAACACTTTATCACGAAGTGATCGATGTCTAATCATAGGGGACTTCAATGCACCCATGGTGGACTGGGGAAATCTTCGGACTGAATCGTCAGCAAACTCCTTCGAACAGGAACTAGTTGATGCGATAATCACTTGTGCTCTAGTGCAACACGTGAAGGAAGCAACTAGGTACGACCCGGGTTCTGCATCATCCTTACTAGATCTTATATTGACTCATTATGAGGATGATGTTGCAAACCTGGATTACATGCCACCCCTAGGCAAAAGTGATCATGCAGTTTTAAGCTTTGACTTCCATATAACTGTCGATCACGAGTACGCTTCAGCTCAATCCAGACCTAACGTCTGGAAAGCAAACATAGCAGACATCATGAAATCAGCATCATTAGTAGATTGGAAATTAGATCCAGAGTCATCAATCGAAACGGCTTGGGACGTATTCCGGAATTTATACTTAAAAGTTACCGCCCCCCACATCCCTTGGACTACACCTAAGAGACCGAGAAACTCCCCACCGTGGTTCAGTAGGGAGGTTCGCATCCTTCTCCGTAAAAGAAGGAAAATGTGGGACAGATTTAGGTTACTGGGGACTGACGAGGCGAAATCTCAGTATCAAAAGGCTCGAAATACCTGTGCCTCGACCCTCCGTAAGGCCAGAAAGCTGTACGAAGAGAAAATCGTTGGGGAATCCATAGAATGCCCTAAACGCTTGTATTCGTATATAAACCAAAGGACAAAAAGGAGAAGAAATGTTCCTTCACTATGGGGAGACAGTACTGCCACATCACTAGTGGAGGATGACTTTGGCAAAGCTCAAGTATTCTCTAAATACTTTAGCGATGTATACACCATAGAAACACCCTTCTCACCAGTCCATGAAAATCCACCCACACAAGCACTGGACAGCGTAACCATTGAAGAACTCGATGTTTTTGGTCTGCTAGTTAAGCTTGACATAGGTAAATCCACTGGACCCGATGAACTGCATCCTAGGTTACTAAAGGAATTAGCTAACTTTGTTGCGAACCCTTTAAGTGTATGTTTTAATCTATCCGTAACCCAGGGTCGTCTACCAAAAGACTGGAAGAACGCCATAGTAAGTCCAGTCTTCAAAACAGGTACAAAACATAAGCCCGAGAATTACCGACCAATTAGCCTAACTAGTGTGGTTGTTAAAATCTTAGAAAAGATTATTCGGAAGGAACTGTTAAAGTATCTCGATAAAAACCGGATCCTCTCCGAAAAGCAGCATAGTTTTAGAACAGGTTACTCTTGTCTCACAAACTTATTAGTCGCTCGTGAAAGCTGGTGCGCTCTTAAGGACCAAAAATTACCTATAGACGTAGCTTGCATCGATTTCAGCAAAGCCTTCGACAAAGTTCCGCATAACCGGCTGTTATATAAGCTAAGGAATGTCGGGATTGGAGGCAATCTATTGATGTGGATAAAAGACTTCCTAGTTGGGCGTCAACAAAGAGTAAGGGTGAACTCCAAGTTGTCTAGCTGGGAAACTGTGCTTAGTGGAGTCCCCCAAGGTACAGTTTTGGGGCCAGTGTTATTCCTTCTGTACGTAAATGATCTCCCTCGTCTACTATCGTCATCGGTCTTACTCTATGCTGATGATGTCAAGATATGGAGAGCGATACAAAGCAAGAGCGATAGCTTAGAACTTCAAAATGACCTGGAGAGATTATCTGAATGGTCCCAAACCTGGCAATTGCCGATAAACACTTCCAAGTGTATTGTGATGCATATTGGCCATCAGGGTACAGATACATACACGATGAATAACACTGAGTTACCTATTGTTCAGGCACACAATGACTTAGGCGTCATCGTTAGTCAAGACTTAAAGACTACTGCACACTGCCGTGCAATAGCCGCCAAAGGTTTTAGGACTTTATGGTCCATACGCAGGGCTTTTAGGCATCTTGACGCTAAAACGTTTCTGACTTTGTATACAGTGTTCGTACGCCCTAAACTTGAGTACTGTATACAAGCAGCTAGCCCCTGCCTAAAAAAAGACAGTGAATTCTTGGAAAGAGTTCAGAGAACAGCAACTAGGCTGATTCCCGGAATAGCGAAGCTCCCGTATGGTACTAGACTGACCAAGCTAAACCTATTCCCGCTGTCATATAGAAGAATCAGAGGTGACTTGATTATAGTTTTCAAATTGCTAAATGACAAATTTGCACCTGATATGCCCTCATTTTTCTTGTCTTCCAAAACAGAAAATCTACGAGGACACTCCAAAAAAGTTCACAAGCCCAGAACGAATTACTTGTCAGCTGACTACCGACTTTCCCATCGAATAATCAACGAGTGGAATTCATTACCTCAGCACGTGGTTGAGGCTCCATCCGTCGACTCCTTCAAAAGAAAGTTGGATCAGCTGAGAGACCATCATTGCCAGGACTAACACAGGCCACCAAGCCTCCTGTCCTTTCCAAACTGAAACTGAAACTGAAACTAATAGTGATTGACTTCAAAATCATTTGTTTTTTTCGATCTCAACAATTTTCTACAAGTCTTATTATCATAAATAGACCATAATATCTAAAGTACCATGGGGATAGATGGCTATTATCATGTTTAGTACTATAAAATACTTACTTAGGTTTTGAAAAATTGTTCTTCATTACGGTCAACTTGGTTGTTAACCGAATTACTCACTATCACTTCACTATTCCAGTGAAAAACCTTGACTTAATAAATACAATTCAGGGTGAAGTGAATGAAAATCGATAATATTTGAAAATAATCTTGCTACAATATGAATTGGCTAAAACCTTGTGATTTTCGGGAAATTTTATTGCAGAATAGCCTGAAACAACTAGAAGGCGCATGGAAATACCGTATACAGTTTATCGATTACGTTAGTTATTACTTAGATTATTAATAAAAATATAAATAGTATTCGTTCGACTTCCGCAGCATTTCATATCCATTAACAATTAACGTTACATTTTTGATTTCTTACTTTTGAATTACCCTTATTTTAAATGACGTGATAAGGATTGTTCAAATAAACTTTCTTTAGGTAAATTGTATGTAGGTGGGTTTTAATAGTACTATTATTGAGTGACATTTTATTGAACCGTATTACGTAACTCTGCCTTACGTAGATTCTCTTCAAAATTTATTTTGCAATATTATCTAACTCAGTTTTGTGATTTTTATCAGTATGGAGAGGTTAATAAGATTGTTGAAGGGTTTATATATCTAATTTCAATGAAATCCCGATAGTGTAAAGCGATCTGTTTCCTTCTAGGTAGACTTAAGGTTGCGCGTTCTCTTAAAGATCTGAAGGCCCTGCATTTCGATTGTTTGTGAGGTTAAGGGTATATATCACTGAAGAGTCTCATACAAAGACGAAAAAACTATGCAATGCTTCCTGGTTTTTAGTGGTTGTCTAATTTTAGTTCGGTCGTAATCTTGATTCCATTCATCATGAATATTACCTGTTGGTTTTCCGAAACATTCTCAATTCTATTTTGAATTAACCTCTAAATACAAATAATATTTTTGAACGTTTGTTTTTGTTACCATATTTGTTTAATAGTTATTGTAAGAAAAAAAATGTACATACATAAGCGATTATATAATTACGAGAATGAAATCGCTGAAAAGAGATTTCTTCTTTGGATCAAATTTTTGTTTTGATAACTCAATTGGTATTTTTTATTCATAGAAAACAATTTAACCTTCAGTTGAATATTGAACACAATACAAGATCTGTTTTTTTCTGTAATATTTTTTTCATTATTTTATCAGTCGTTTGTTAAAGTTAAAATCAGCTGATCAATTTTACGCTACAATGAGTAATTTAATGTCACAATTTTCAGAAGGTCGAATAGTAAGTAGTCAAGAATTATTATTTGAAATCTATGAACTAGCACCATTTCCTTATCCTGGATTAAAAGAATTACGTGAAAAATTTATGTATAATATTGCTCCATTAGTTTTAACAAAACATTTGACTATGAATTCATTTAATAATAATAATACTAATGATGATCAAAGTCTTTCAAATAATAATGGAAAGAAAATGAGCAAATTTAATTTATTGAAATATTTTCCTTCAAATTTTAAAACATCTAAATCTTTACAGTCGGATAATGATCATAAATGTTTAACAAAGTTGAAAAATGAAAAGTAAGTCTATTATTATTATTACTATTATTGAAGTATTTATTTCGACTTTCATAGTGTTCACAATTATAATTGGTTCTTTCATTTGGATAAGGGCATAATATTATGGAATCAGAGAATATAGGTGGAAAATAAAATTCACTCGAATAAAATTGACTGTTCTATCAATAGAAAGCAATCATGAAATTTTTATCAAATTGATAACGTGATACTGATCTTATTACTCATATTACCAGAGTACTATACTTTTGTTGGATTTTAAAAAGTTTTTGAACTATTTATTCGAATCAATTAGTTCTCTCATCAGATTGATCAATATAGGTATCTACTGAAAATATATACATATTTAATCATCAAGACTATATACCTAGTATGTCGTTTCTGTAGGTTTCAGTATGCCTTAGTTATAAGTTAATTACTTACGCCTATTACCCCTCGTCGAGGAGCATAGGCCGCTCACCAGCATTCTCTATCCAATTCTGTCCTGAGCCTTCCTTTCCAGTTCTTTCCAGTACACATTCATCCTTTTCATATCTGCTTCTATTTCCCGGCGTAATGTGTTCTTTGGCCTTCCTCTTTCCTGCTTCCCTTCTGGATTCCAAGTTAGGGCTTGCCTCGTGATGCAGTTTGGTGATTTCCTTAATGTACGTCCGATCCACTGCCAACGTCTTTTCCTAATTTTCTCTTCAGCTGGAAGCTGGTTTGTTCTCTCCCATAAAACGCTGTTGCTGATAGTATCCGGCCAATGAATGTTGAGTATTTTGCGTAAACAACTGTTTATAAATACTTGTATCTTCTTGACGATGGATGTGGTAGTTCTTCACATTTTTAGTTATAAGTGCTTGTGATCGATTTAAAAGACTTCGTTGAATGGTCCTCATTAGAATAATGAGCTGATTGAAAAGTAATGACTACATTACATGTATATTCATCTGGGTTTTGTTGTTGTGAGTGACTAGAAAAGGGATCCGTGGTATGGGTTTTATAATATTTGGGACTCATCTGTTGTGTGTAACTTCTTTCCAGTTCTTTTACTTTCAGGAACATCTTAAAAAAATCATCCATAATTTTCAACAGTATTCACTAGAATCATACCACTAGTAATTATGCAAATTTAACTAAGAATGCACTATGTATATATACCACTAAGTTCCTATTAATGTTTATACTGGCGCAATATTGAAGTTGGGAAAGTTTAAGTGAGGAGAAAACAATCTACAATAAGTGAATTTAGTAAATATTAAGAATAAATTGGATAGGACCAATGAAATATAATCATGTTTTTTATTGGTAATATATTAAAATATTTCACCGGCGATTATTATAGTTTAAGCACATTTACTTTGTCGATTTACTGTTGAATAATAAAGAGAAATATGTAACCGTTTGCACCATATCCTTTGTTGTGCATCACTTGAAAGTTAATTTTATTTGTATCGATTTCATAATTTGTCTACAAAATGAACTCGATAGTTAGTTTTATTTAAAATATTATTCAATCTTATTTTGATTAAAATATATTTAGTTAGTTTCACGACATTTATTTGCTGTTATGTAGTATCAGAATCTTTTGGAAAAGAAAGAAATCATACCACTACTACTCTAGTAAACGAGAACAACGATAGGGACAACTAAATGTATTTGAACCTGAAATTACAGAATCTCTTAGTAAAATCGGAGAATACTTCATTTGCAAAATATCAATCCATTGTCTGAGACTTGATTTTTCTTTGTTTCCATACCAATCACTCTCTGTTTTCGTTCTCTTTTATTTGATATTCTTAACCTTCTGCAACCAGGCATTTCACTTTCGATTGATGATACATACTATTTATATCTGTCGACATCAGTAGCACTAACCACACTACTATTACTACTTTCACAATACCCAATTCCCCTATTCCGTTTTTGCCAGACTTCAGTAATATAAATATCACTTTAAAAAGAATTCTGGTTTATTAATAAAACTGGAAAGATTTATTCACTGTAATAATTATTGTATGAAGTATTTTTCTTTCAAATAAAATTTCACGTTAAAATTTAGTAGAAAAAAACATATCAATCATAGAACAGTTTTCTTAAAGTTGAATGAAAGTACAATCTAAACATAATATGCATTCCTTGAAATAATTGTTAGCGTAATGTCATAACAGTACATTTTACTTCATTATTAGATTATATGTGTTGAACTCCATGTTCGAATATTCTTATTACTGATCAGTAATGTTAATAATGATCTTGATCAATGTAGAAATGAATTAAAAATATGATTAAACATTAGATTTTTTAGGTATGCCTAGTTAATATTGGTGTTATTATGAATTGTTAATCTTTTACCTCTTTCTTTCTGCTTCTCTATATTGTTTCATTTTGTTTTCAACACAGTATCCTTATCTTCATTCAGTTGTTAAGGTCTACTGTTGTTTAGTTTTACGTTTTATCAAAAAAATCCGTAAAATGACGTGTCTAGTGTTGTGGTTTGCTATAGTTATGCGGACAGACATAAGTAGTATGTAGAAGGAACTGGAAGTAGAATGCTTACAAGCAGTTGAAATAAGAGAAGCAACAACAGGATTAGAAGAATGAGAAAGTATGTTAAGGACAATTCAAAGAAGATGTGCAAATGATGTATTTAATGTATGATTTTCATATTTTACAAAGTCACTGTATGATTTTGCATAATACAATACATTGATTTTCCCCATCAAGTCTTCGTTCATTACATTATAATTCAATACCATCGTTATTTTCTTCTTGTAATTAACCTCATTCATCATCAATATGACGAGTATCGTTAGGGATTTCCTGCTTTATCAGCAAATCACATGATTATTATTTATGTACTTCATTTTTATGAACAGATCAATCTGATTAAACTGATAAACGAGAAGTAAACTGATATAAGTTTGTATCATTTTTCTTATGATTGCACAAATAAATGCAGTCACTTTTTTGTGTTATCGAAATTGTTGATACATTCATTTGAATTTTTATTTAAATAACCATGCAACAATTTACTTAGTGGTTAAACTATCATGACATGGGTGTGTGTGAGATACATAAAAATCCCCAATTCTGAAATGTCTTGTTTATGTCTCTTAAAAAGAGAGTTATAACAACACATAGTTGATGAGGAAACGTTTTGCTATAGTCTTCCTATAAACGTTTTAAAAAAAATAATCATTGTGACTAGTTATGATGGGTTCTTTTTATGTTTTGTTTTTATATAGATATTTGAATGAAACTACTAGGTGGCCCAAAACCATCAAAGATGAATCTAGTAAGTCTACTGCAAATTTTATGATTAGTATTACGTTTATGAAATCGGTCATTTAGGCAGTATGTGGGTTATATAATGTCAATGTTCCTGTTTAACTATACGAATGCCATAATATAATTCATAGCATTAAGATAACTGAAAGTCTTCTCAGTTAATTGTCAACCTGAACTTTCGGTTCAAGAATATAATCATCAATATAAGCTGTTTGCTCAGATATAGTGTGAAAGCGATGCATGTTAGAGTGTTATAAATGGGAGGGAATTAAAGTTGAATCAGAATTACTTGAGTTTTTCGGTTATTCTATACCATATTCTACTCAACTAACATACTATTTCATGCTTAGAAAAGACATTCTAATAAACAATACATTTAGCCAATATGCTAGAATTATCATTCTGAACCAACTTTTTTTTGTTCTGACTTATTTTTATTGAAAGCAATGTTATTTTGTTAAATGTCTTTTTAACTTCATTTCTTAAATAATGTATTCCATCTTCTTTTCATTTAAACTGAAGTTATTCAAAATTTGTTTTAGTATGGTATTATTGCTGAATATTTAATATTTCAGATCGTCCCTACATGAAGATATATAGGAATCTATACATGGATTCAGAGAATTCACTTCAGTCTATTCTTCCTTATTATGATTGATGTCACTTTATTTTGACTCATTTACTACTCATCTTGTTAATTTCGTCTTATTGTGCTAATGTGATATGGTAACACGGACTAACGCGCATTTGTGTCAAACTTTGAGTTGATTATGTTTAACCCATCCATGTGACATTTTCTGAATCAAAAATAGTTTAGATAGAAGTTGAGGAGAGTTGATTTTGAATACCATACTAGTTCATCATATATACAAGATGGTTTATACTCCTATATTTGGTGTCTTCAAGATAATGAGATAGAGGCTGTAAGTACGATTGTGCGAAATTGTTCATAGCAGTTGAAATTTACTTTATTGTATAAACACACCAAAACGACAGTCATTTATGTCGTTCATTAGAAAGTTACCTTGCATTGCTCTATTACATTAGTGATAGTTATCTTTTACAGGACAATAGTAAATTCTGTTTGTGTTTCCTTTTGAGAGGTGGTGAGATAATAAACAAAGAAACTGTCGTCATCAAAATATGAAGTTATGCCTTTTTATTAATTCAATATTACACTCACTGATTTCTTAATTATATTTTTGTTTTTAATATTTTAACACGATATACAGTTAAAGAAAAACAAAGCAGTCACTGTGTACAAAACACGGATAAAAGACGTTTGTCAACTACGGAATTAGATGAAGAAGAATGCATGGGAGATAATTATCAAGAGATTAGTTTGAGTATGGATACGGATTCTGAAATAGGAACGTTTTCTCGAAAACAAACTCAAAATTACAATAAAGTAAATGGCCAAACTAGTAATACTCATTCTAAAGAAGCACATAATAAATCAATGAAGCGATTTTCCAATGATCAAATTAAGGGAACTGTCAAATGTTTTTCAGCATTTTGGCCTGACAAACCAAATAATATTGACTCAAGATTTTCTAATCAATCATATGTTACTGAAAGTAGTTCAGTGAAGTCATTACGATATTCTGTTGACGATACTCTTCTTAAAAATGTATTTCGTCTGAGGAGTATACAAAATAGTCCACTGAAAGACGGTAGAGGAAAAGCAAATTCAGATATTAGTCAAGTAAGTAGTCTACTGTTTAAAAATATAGACCTTATTGTAGCTGCTGAATAATTAAACGTGTTTAGCTGGTTGCTGATAATACATTGTCTTCACATATTGTGGTATTCTTGAATTTTAATTTTACGTGAAATTTAATTTAGGAAAAAAGCCATATTGAAGCATCAAACTTTTGACATTTTGATAATAAATAATTAATAACATAAGATTTAAATAGGTAAATGTATTGTTCTTTATGAAAAGGCAAGATGATCTATGGTGGAATAACGGTTATGTATTTGTAATGTATACTGTTTTTTTCTCGCTTAGTGTAATAAAATAAACATTTGGTTTGTAAAATATATTCCTATAATGCTACGTTAAAGTACTTTATTAATATTAAACAGACGACTAGTTTGAAGTATATGACATCAAAAGCTACAATAAAAATTTTTTTCCAGATATGTTTTATAATGCACTTCACTTTAAGTTTTCGAGAATCGCTATTTCTATTCTTAAACGTTTCAATAAAGGTAGGTCTGTTTGCTTACTGATTTTTACTCATTAATCTGTCTGACGAATTTTTGCTCTGTCTACAATATCTAGGCGCTGTTGAGTTAAGCGTCTAATAAAACTTGAGGATTTCTGTAGACTTTAAATTTGATAATTTTTGTAATTTATTTTACACCTGTCATGCATGTGATCTTCCTTGAAGGGCGGTGTCCAAAATCTGGTACTGATACTCAACATGCTATGCGCTAACCCCCCAACTGACTACTTGGAGGAGAACTCAAAAATGAGCGAGAAAGTATATTAGGCTACCGAATAAAATACACAAATACTCATTCATATATATTCAACTCTACTCCTTGGGAAATCAGTCATTTTCTAAGCCAATGAAATTCATTTGTCCTTCAGGTCACTTCTAGTTGCCACCGACTGGTTTTCTTATTTAGCTACTTCTGATTATATTACATTATTATGATCGATGACCACTGACATGTGATTACTTGAAGATTGGTATTAGTCCCACTGTGTTAGTGATGCTTTTGAACCTTGGGACAGAAACATAATGTGTCATTAGTGTTTGTCAGCAAGTTTCGTCTACTTTGATATTTATCTTTAAGATATTGCTGCTGAAGATGGAACATATACATTAGTCTCAGACATTTTTATCAGTGAGAAATTTAAAAATTAGCTTTCCTACTCAATTCAGTGTAGTGACGCGTTCGAGAAAACTTCAGGATAGTCGGTCAATTTATTAGCTGACTGTAAATTCATGTCACATCGAGTAGTATACCCAAGTTACCCTTCCTGGGAGATCATAATTTATTGGGTATACACTGAGTTTGTTTATTATAGTGCATGTTTATTCACGGTTGATCTTTGCACCTATTACTTCATACCTATTCACCTTCCAGAAATCCATATTTATCTTCTTTCTTTCCGGACCATTTATCCTACAAATTTTTGACATGTACCATATATTTTTATTGGGTTCTATGTTATTTTGTGTCTCTAACTTATTCACTAATAAAACTATATTAACCAATCGATTAGTTTCACCGATTTACATACACAAGAACCTATAAATGTTTACATGAAGTACCTGACTGTACGTGTATGATTCCATATTTATTTGATAATTTAACATACTTGACTCGTACTTGTAACAGTTGACCAGTCACTGTTAGATAAACTACAATTCATGGAACACCGTGGTAATTAACCTAATAAAAACAATATTCTGACGTAAAGCATCGTAAATTAATAGGAAACGTTTTATACGAACTTTACCTACTTGTAAGTAGTATAGTCTAAAAACACAAGAAAATGAGGAAGGTTTGTGATGTATGTCTGTCGACATAGGTAGTATGTAACACCAACCAAAAGAGGAATACCTGTCAAAGGAAAGTTAGGAAGATTGATCTGAAGAAAACAGAAGGGGAAACATATGTGAATGAGAACTGAAAGAGTCATGCAGGATGTAAAGGACAACCGATGGAAGATTTACAAACGAAGTATTTAATGTTTGGTTTTCACATTTTACAAAAGAACTCTGAAATTTTGCATTAAGTCAAATATTTATTTTTCCCACTTGACCTTTTTATTAACTACGAGTCTAAAAGCACTTACTTTTTCAACTGCTTCCTAGTTAGTCGATAAAATTATGTTAGACGAAAAGTTGTTAATCATTTTTACTCATATTTTTGTTTTAAAAGTTCCCCGTTCCATCTCGACAAAGTTGATGTTTTACAATCGACTTGTTGAACATCGTTTGGGATGTTGATAAAAGATGATATATGTGTACGTTACATGAAACTTTAAAAACCATTATTATCTTAATTAGTGAATTTTTCTCGACAACCTGGAAAACTCTCAGTGATAATCATCATGACATTGTATTCAAGGAAATTTTAAACGTATCTGCTCTAACTTTATTGGTTTTGTAGGAATGTGAATGTGAATATCAGTCTTTTTCGGGAAATGTGCCGATGTGTAAATAGTGGTGTAAGCACTATGCACGTTGAACAAGATGGTAGCCATCTCCGTTCAGAAGTAACCTATTGACTCATGAAACAGGGGATACTGTATATGAACACCAATTTGGACATTAACAATGAGATGCAGACACATGAAGCTGATGAGTCTCAAATACGATGAAAAACGCATCCTAGATTTCACTCTTAGCGATAGTCAATTTACTTTAGGCGAAAACTTTAGTTCAAAATTTGGAAATACTTAGTTTTATGGCAATCTAAGTAAGACGTTCATCTCTCTTACTTTTACCGATAAATAGTAACAGTAATAAGTTTTTCATCAATTTTCTCAATGTTTACTATGTTTGCCTGCAGGTATCCATTATGCATCTTTGGTTCAATTTAGGAAGCCCTGGTGAGAATGTCGCTGGTATTGTCTATAATGCGGTCACTGACTTCATTGTTTGACAATATGTCTTGTTCTGATTATCTCAACGTTTATCTGACTATTTTTGGCTGAAATCAATACCGGATTTCGCATTTGATGTTAGTTGGTAATGCACTCTATAAGTCTTAAATACGTCGGTTTGTCTGATTATGGCTGTATTTTTTCTGTCCGCCTTGTAATGCATACATACAATCAGCATTAGACATAGACTGGTTTTTGCGTTACTAAACGGTTTCAAGCAGTGATGATAAATAACCGACTTTCCTTCTTTTCACACAGTTTTGCTGATTTGATTGGGGTCTGTGAGATATTCATAATTTATCATCTTTCTAGATTGTAAGCAATAACGTTATTTTATGTGGTTACATTTCGGTCTCATTCATTCTTTTTGATAATACTCATATTTCGTTTTGATCTGTTTCCTGTAAATTTCCTCTTTCTGTGCTGATGCGAATTGTGAAAATTGAGAATCTTTTCGAATTAGTCCAGGTCCTTGTTGTTTATAACCAGACAACATAAAATTTCTTATTTAACCCTCCATTGTCCAGTGGATTTTCATTTTCCTGAGACTTTTTCCTTTGGTCAGTTCAATCGAAAACGAAAAGTACAACCTGAGTTTTACGGACAGTCAGCTCTAAAATATCAAAGTTATTTCACTCTATCCTCTGTGAAAATGATATTATTCTGTTTTTAGATGAATTTACATGTTATCACAGTAGTTTATAATCTAGGAAAAATACCTTCGTAGATAGCTATTAGTTGGGAACTATATCTCATTTGTTGAATATTCAAGTTTTGTATTAAGTTCTTTCTTAGTTCTTTTTTATTAATTATAATATTACATTCCTTTTAGATTGGTCCTGGAGCAGTTAGTGATGCTCCAGATTTGACCCCTATGCATAAAACATCTTCAGCTGATCAGGCTCGTATGACAAGAAATCTTGACCAATTAGAATCTCATTATAAAAAACAACAAACACGTCAACGTTCAACTATTATTGTTCTACCGACGAATATTTTAAAATCAGTTTATTATCAAACAAATATGATTGAGGTACTCCCACAAAGAAAATATACGCCAACTGTAAGTATTTTTGTTTTAAGAGTTCTATAATCAAAATGTTACAAATTACTACTTTTACAATTTTATTAATAGTCAGAGAAGAGGGAATTCATTGTTTCACTACTAATGTATAACTAGTATTATTTACAATCGTGTTTTACCTATTAGATATATTTTACTTGTGTGCTTGTTGCCTGATAATTTCGGATAGAGAGAAATAGAGAGACGAAAATATACCACTATACTGTATTATCTTCTATTGAATTGTAGAAACGGGTAAATAATGCCATCAGTAGAAATTATCAGCTAATTAAGTGTTTGGTGTCTTAAGATTGGGTTCAGCATTGGACTACTGCAATCGGTAATTGCAGAATGATTTGAAAAACAGGGGGTCCGGGAACTGATATATAAGCAGATAAACTGTAATAGTATAACCATTAGGATACTTTTTAGTCATTAAGTTCTCTAATGCTAATACTTGCAAGGGGAAACAATATATACTATATATGTTTGTATTACATCTCAAGTTGCACAGAATAACATTCTGTAGACAAAATTAAATGATAATTGGTTAAAATGTACTACAATGTAACTGCAGAAATGTATTCCCATAGCTAAAAGTATAATATACTGAATTAGCAGTATATAAAAAACTAACTTTATTTATATTATGTGGTTGAAAGGCATAGATCCAAGCTTTATTTTAGATGAGACTGGTCGGAAAGATATATTTTTATTCTAGTAGAGCTGATGCTCCCTGTTGGATTCGAACCAGAATCACCAAATGCCTCATTGATAGGCATTAGCTCTTAACTTTATGAGATATCAATTAACCTATTGTAGAATTAGACAATATTCGCTAACCTGTTTCTTAATAATTATTTATACTTTTTTAATTTACTGAACACTTTATAAATCTCTACATTCCTATTTCTTGGGATATGAACATGAGTAATTGGATAGCTTTATTTGCTTATTTGTAACTTTATATATGTTTAGTCTATTTCTGACTAAAACACATACAAAGCATAAGATTCATTCAGTCTAATACTTTAGTTTCGTCATAATCTCTAAAGTATTTCTTATTTTGTATGTTTATTTTAACTTTAGAAATCATTGTCATTTAGATTATCTAATGCAAATAATCACTGTTCAGTCAAGTCAATAAGTTTTGATTCTTATGATACTTTAGAAAATTGCTGTGAGAATAATCTCAGTGAAATTGATGACAAGAACAAATACAATAATTCTTCTTTAGATATTCTGAATAAAGAAATTAATGATACGTTAAATGATAGTCCTGCAATAAGTATAAATCAGACGTTAATTGGTGCTGTAAAATCATGGCAAGAAAATGCTGATTGGTCTGTTACTATTGATGAAAATGATGATCTTTATAAGAAAGTCTTTCCCGATGAATCGAATCGTAAAGAATTATTAATTAAACGATCTAACAATACAAAACTTAAATTATGTGAATTAGCAAGGTTCAATAGTTTAGAAATCCGTTTACCAATGAAAGTAAGTATATGAATTGAACCAATAAAAGTTTCGCTTTCATAAGAGATACTAAATTGTTATTATTTATCAATAATATGGTCGAATTATCACAAATTCTTGAATTGAGATAGCTCATCTTAGTTAAAAGATGAGGTTCTTATTTTGATTCTTTTTAAATGAACCAATATATTGAACTCCAGTGGTAATGATACGTCCAGTTTAAGCTACATTTACAGTATTTCTTTCAAGATGGATTTTCACAACACAAAACTCTTGGATTCACAATACTCATTTCAGTTAAAATTGTTTGTTTCTGGTATATATATATATATATATATATATATATATATATATAGTATGCAGTCAACATAATCAGAATACAAGTTAGCTAATATGAGACAGTAATGCGGTGATATCGCTTTCGTTCATTCAAAAAACTGTCACGTATGGTATTACTGTTGTTTGATTTAGTTCTTACTTTTGTCGAATGGTTTGTCTGGTTATAATACACAAGGTATATTTTATAAAATATACGTTACCAATAGTCGCTGGCCTAATTGATCATTAGTATTTTGCAGTTAGATCACCTTACTTCTTTTCAATACCTTGACTACAGTTTTATTCGGTAGATTCCATTATATTTGTTTATTGATGTGTATTATTGATGGGCGTTAACTAATTTGTTGTAATTCATTTTTGACCTAGAATATAAAGTATCATCTTATTACGTCCACTAAATCTCAAAGGTGTTAAAAAGTTATTATCGAGTAATTAATTGGACTTTATAATTTCTGCTGGATAGCTGGGTGGAATTTTGTAAAATATTACAATCAAAGTAGTTTGACATCAAGCTTGGGTTCGATTAGTTGAAAATTCTTCATCGTTGATCTTCAAAGACAAGTTGAAGAAGCAAATAATGCATCCAGCTGGTAATGAAACACTAACTTTAGATAAATGTAACACTTTTTGATCACACCATGTAGTCTTGTCTCTTTTTTAGATAGTGTGTGCCATTCAGTTATTTATCGTCAGAAGACATTCCATAAAGAACTGTTTTTGAGATAGTTTTTTGTTTATAAGTTCACTTGCTGTGATGAATATTTTGTGTTTGTTGTCACTTTTCTGCTAAGATTCGTTAGTCAGTCATTCTTACACATCGGAGGACTTGACAAATATGTTCATCGATTCAAGTTGCCTTACTACTTTGGCAAAGAAGGATAAAATAATTTTCAGACAAATTTCAGAGTAGAAGTAGTAGAAAAAATTAGTATGGAAGAAAAAATCAAGGTATAAAGTGATTTCGGACTCAGGTTCTAGAGGACGACAAAGAGCAAATGGTATGTATTCGAGATGACGGTCTTATTGAATTTCTGTGACAAGGAGGTCTTTCTATTTTTAATTGGTCATTGATTTTATTTAACAAATGGAAGCATCGTATGCATCAAATTTAACTGAGATTATTAATATTCCCAAATACTGGATGATTCATGGAATAAGTCTTCTCATTGTTTCAGTAAACAAGCTTATATTTTTAGCAGATGATTAGATTTCCATAATTGCTAATCACAGTGATGTTGATTAGAGCTTTATATAATATTTGATGTAAGCCAAAGGCGAAATGACAGACCTACACTACATTCTTTAGTATAATAAACTGTAATCTATGTTGTAGGTTCTCTACCTGGATACCTACCTTGTCATAATTTTAAACCTTAGTTTTCAAACTCTTGAATCGTTACTGTTATAGTAGTTTCATTATGGTATGAGTATGCTATGATTTAATCACACTCGGTTTTATCATAACGTTATTCACTGGATTATATGAAGTTAGGGAGTATACCATATCTGATGTGATTATTATTTGTAATTCTCTATAGTGATAGTATTATTTCACTGAAAAAAGATTGATTGAAACACTTTGAAATTGCTATTCGACTAAGTCATTGATGGTTCATATTGGTAACTGGTAGTGATTTTCAATTGACTAATATTAATTGTGAATAATTATCCTTATATGGTTTAAATATTTTAGTACAATTGGAAACAATATAAGTTAAATCTTCCCTTTTTACTTCACTTTATCATACTTTTTAAGTATTCGTACTCTGATGGAACATTGAATAGTCATATTGCATCGAACAATCATACTGATCATATCGATAATGATGTAAACTCTACAAATTCTTCAACATATAAAAATATTTATGATACCAATATAATTTATTCAAAAAAAACTATTAGTGAATTGATCCTAATGAATATGATTAAACAATATAATCAATTAAAAGATGACAACAATATATATAATTCAAAAGAGTCAAAAATTACACCTACACAATCATCTGTGGTAGTGTCTCATGAAGCAATTTCTCTGAATGACGCAGATACTTCATGTTATACGTCAGTTTCAAGAAATGTACCGAAAAAGTTACCTTGGCAAAAAGCAGCATATTCCTTTGCTCATAATTGTCGTTTAAACAAATTAATCACTTCCAAACAGACATGTGAATTATTTCCTATAAAAACATCGCTTACGCAATCTCGAAGAGAGTTTGGAGCTAAATTTGGTATTTATTAGGATACAAATTTCAAGAACTGGTCGACTTTCTCAGGTTTTCACTATTATTGCTAAGAGTTCAATGCTTACTTCTTATAACTCGGTGATTATAAGTTCATAACATTCATTATATAGTATAACTGTGTTTTGTAATTACCTCCTCATGATCTTATGCTAATAATATCTTCAGAAGTTATTCACATTCATCCATTTTTGGAGGATTGATGATAAGTATTTTATTTTCCTAGTATTATTTTTCCGTTATCCGAAATAACATTTGTGTAGTTTACTGATGTCTACAGAAAATAATCTAGTCTATCATTCTTTTTCTTCGTTTTGTTTTCAACAGCTTATTTTGTGATTGTTAAACTTATTATGTATTACTGATCAGAACAATAAAAGTTTATGATTTGTTCCCATGTTCAATAATAATCACTGTATACTATCATTGATTGATACAGAGAAACGTTTATGACCAAAATTACTGTACATAGTGCTTTTCCTTTTATTGTTACGTAATTGAACTTAATTTCGGTTGAAATCGAGATTTCCGATACAGCAGATAACACAATGAATTATGGTGAGGTGCCTATTTGTATTTAGGCAAAACTTTTGTCAAATGAAATGAAGTCAAAGACAGAGTTTTTAAGCTCAGCTTTCATATCCAGGTAGATTATCGTGAGTCAACTGGCCTAGGTTACACGTTTACTCCAATGTTTTGTCAATATAAATCTTTTTCCTTTCCATGCTCAATTTGTCAGGAAAACGTAGGCTTGTTCTAAATTTCTAGCATGGGTTATTTGGAGCTGCAGGCAAAGATAAGACCGCTAAGATTTTATTGTGATCTACAGGTGTCTGTGTCACTAAAGTAAGTTCTCATAAATAAAATTGTGAATTCATTATGGTGTATGATGATTCATAGAATTTATTAATAGTTAGTTTCCTTAACGTTATTGAATAAAAGGGTAAGATTACCTCAATTTTCTGATTTGGTTGCCAATGGACTCATACTTCAAGAAAATCTAGTAGTTGAACTGGCATCTGAAACGTTTTAGTGTAAAATTTGTCGACGTGACATTGTCCTTCAAATGCAATAATCAGACAATAATGGAAATGTTTTGCTTAGGATGGAGTAAAGGTTATTTCATATGTGAGAACTAGGAAAAAATAATAGTCTTCAGAAACACTATTTAGAGTATTTAATTACTTAAAAAGTAACACATTTAAAAAATTAAGGCAGTGAACTGATGTTGATAAGATTGCTACTTAAGAAAGAAATGTAGCAAAAAGTACATAGCGTATATTTGTGATAGAACCCAGAAGTACACAACGTCACTGATTTCCAAACTTTGAATCTTTTGTTACCAGTATTTTGGTCGTTTATTATGAAATTTCAGTATAGAAAATTTATACTGTAAATACAAGTTATATTGTTTTATTTATTAGAGAATATCGTGTTATTTAACCTAAAGTTTCAGTTTCAAAGGAATATTTATTTGTTGTAATGATCTTATTATAGGCTTAGACATTACAATATTTAGTTTTGTAAAATGGATCTATGCACGTCTCTGTTACAAACTTTAAATGTGTATTTTATTCAGAATCATTTGTAAGACGACTATTTCTCAACTCAGTTTTGAAATTCCTTAATTGCCGATTCATAAATACTATGCTTTATAGCCTAAAATTTCATTTGTTATTTGGGAGAAATCAAAAATGATGTAAGTAGATACTGGCTATGCAACTTATCAAAAATTTGGTTACCTCATTTATACAACAATATACATGGTTGCACAGTAGTCATTTAAATTATTCCATAATCTTATAAATCACCGTTGAGTATTCTTGTCATACTGGAAGTATATCTAATTTCATCCAGCTATTTCCAGTTTGTTACCTAACATCAAACCAGGATGAATGAAATGTCAGTTTTTATGTATGACAGTCTTACTACCCCTCAGTTGTTAATAGTTAAATGGATTAAGTTAGTTTACACAGTTCATTTTATTCGACTTGATTCAACGCAAGAAGAGGTAATGTATTCATCATTTTCGTTCCAGTGTGCATGTGAGTTCCAAACTAGATTTTATTATAAAAGTATTTATGCTTGGATAGATTAAAAAAGACGTAGCTTTATGATATACCCATACAGATAAAACGATATGCGTATTTAAGTAAACCGTCCTAACTTTTTATATCGAATATAAAGCTTATTGTTTCTACCAATACTGTACAGAATTAAGAGATATTTTACGCTTCTAAGATTACTGAACCGCATATGGCGAAATTCTGATATTTAGGATTAAAATTATTGCGATATATAAATAAAGCTATGGAGAAGTGGAGTAAAAATTCTGTTATTCTAAGAAAGCAAAGATGAAAATAAATAAGAACGGGGCCTAAATGAGGTACAAACAACTAAAATGGTACCAAACTTTAACGAAACCAGCTTGACATAACGATTAACTATTAGGGATAATTTGTTAACCAAAATTATTATAATTATATAACTAACTTCTTATCAGCCATCCCTCGTTGTGTCACCTTATCTAGTCTTACCGTTACTGATAATATATCAGTGTTAACTAGATGAGCTGAAATCATAGGTCCTGAAACCGCTTCGCACACATAATTATTGACGTTGAAATGTCCTTGGTAAAATTGACTTTTATTCCCTTTACAAATTAGCGTCTGTTTTGTGTTTAAATAATATTTACTCCTGCATATAAATTCAAAAGTATTTTCTATTTCAGTCATCTTACTTCTAGTTGCCTATAGTTGACACACAGTTGATTTTAAAATTGAGTTATTTGTTTAACAGAATGAAAATATACTTTGTAATAAACTCGGTACTATAATAATTAGAAATGTTATGAAGGCGCTTTGATAGGCAATAAAATCCAAATTAAGACAAGATGAACTTTTTCGCTTCAATAATCTTAAATGTTTAATTATTATCCAAGGTTTACAAAAGTATCATACGTGATATTCCCATATTATCGAATTTAGATACGTTCTGTTACTAATCAGTAAAGTAAAATTGTTGTATCCTAGGGAAGATTAAATTACGGGTCACTTCTGAGATCTACTCATGGACTAATTATATATATATATATATATATATATATATATATATTCCTATCATATAACTGTTCAGTAACTAGATTATGTATTTCTATATTCTTCTTATCATAAGCTTCATCTTGATCTATAAATTATTATTATACGATTTACTGTCCCTAAATTATATTTAGTTTATCGATTATTGTCTCCCACGTTCACAGCCACATTTGGCTTGATCTTGTTCAAATATTATTTTCTATTTTATGGTGTGATGCGGTCTGTCTGTCTGTTATATAAACCGAGTATACTTGAAATAAATGATTCGCATAGATTCGCATAGTAGAAGCTGCAATCGGTGTTGTGAACTCAACTGAAAGGGCTAAGCGGATAAAGGACCAATAAGGACTCTAAGGTGCTCATGATGGTCGAACATCATTGATTTGGCACAGTACTAAAATCGGATAAGTCGTATTTCAATTGGTGGGTAAATCTCATGATTGAAATCTTTGCTGTTTTGCTTTCGCTGTAATTTCGGTTACACTTTTTTTTTAAAAAAAGACAAAAAGTAGTTCACTACATAAATGTAACTTGATCATTACAAATAATTTTTATACACAAAATGAAATTTATATTCATATTAAGAAAATAAATTAATAATGAATAAATTTGTTATGTAAACACAAATAATATGAATGTTTAATAAATTAATTGAAAATTGAATGAGTCTTCCTTTTCTTATTTATTTCTGTTGAAATGATGTCAACAGTTACAAAGTCGATATGTTTTTTTTTGTTTTCATTTTCACGGTGTTAAACTTGTTTCTACCGGTTTCAGAAAATTTCTTTCTTTAATTTTCATTGTATTCAGCTGATTAATTGCATCATTCACTGCATCATGAATAGTTGGGTAAATTTTAGTTAAATCTCCAATTTTATTATTATTTTGTAATGTATGGATAAGATAATCTAAAATAATAAAAGATATATATATAAGAAGAGGTTATATATACACTTTGTAAAGAATAATTATTTGAAATAGTATTTAGGTTAAAGTGACCTTACAAAGTTGCAAATATTTAAACAAAATATACACAAGAAATTTCTGTTTGAATATTCGTCGATATCCTAGAGAATGATTCGACAGAAATAGTTAGCCGATTATGCAGAAGATATTATTTGTAAACATTATATTTGAAGTAGTCTTAATGACTAAAATTTAAATGATCCAGACGTTTCGTCCAGCAACCTATTTTAAACCTCTTCAGGGTAACAATCAAAGTCAAAATCATCGAAAAAAGCATCGAACGTCTAATAATCAAATTTAATGTGACTGTATGAGCTTGTAGTTCAGATTACTATAAAAATATTTTCATCAGAATGGGGGGGTTGTGGAGATTGTAGTAGTTTATTAGTTGAATTCATGAGTCAATTTAAGCAAGACCATCATGGAAAACCTGGAAGCGCTGGACGGCCGTTTCATCCTATTGTGTGACTCCTCAGCAGTTTAAATCCACGGTCCCGCATGAGAGACTCGAGTTCAAGATGTTTGGCCTCGCGCGCAAACGCCTAACTTGTAGACCAAGGAGCCGACATCCAACAGTGTTAATGTCTAACTTCAACCAATCCACGATATTGCGCGACCGTCCACCATTGTCTTCAGTAAGTAACTGTCTCACAACAGATACGGTTGACCAATGGGTTCACTGGTAAACATCAATGATTGCGTAGCACATTTAATACTAGTGCTTATTGCTATCACAATTAGTAATCTTAGTTCGGTTATAATTACTCAGTTGAAGTTACGTAAAATTAATTTACCTTAAAAGTCTTAGAAGAAATGATATTTTTTCCTTTGTGTGAAAATGACGGGTTAAGAGAAGTGTTTAAATCATTACTTACAGACTAAATGACCGTTATTCGTTTATTTGTAAGACGTATACAGTATATTTTGGAAATAAGAATATGGTTACTTAGGCAAATATTTGGGGAACACAAGTACTTTTAACTCATAATTCCCAAAGAGCAAATACTTGTAACACATAAAATGACCCTTGAGGCTTATATATTTTGAGCAAAATACGATTTCACATTACGATTGATTGGTCTAGAATTCAAAACATCCATCAGTTTGTGACTTCCTGAGATTTTCAGTCAGCATCTTTGAGTGAATTTTCCAAATATAGAAATTGCCGCAATCCACATCATTAGACGAGAAAGCAATGATGGTTAAATACCTAATTCTAAACGAATAGATGGAAGTTTTAGAGGACAATCAACCCCTCAACACAGGTGTAAGTATGAAATAAGTATAAACGAGCATCTATTGATTCTATCAGCTGCTCCTTCAGCATTGGACTGAGGTTTAAGAAAGTAAAATTCTGTTGGTCAACTTAACTATTGTATTGGATAGTGAACTCTTAATAAAGTCATTGTTTTAAATGTATCTTAGCAGAGATATCCAAAGTTTTATAACCTAATTAAGTAAGAGTACTAGGTGATGTAAACACCATAACTAAGTTATAAATCAGCCTATCCGTAAAATTAGTTTATTCTTTAAATTCACCCAGTTTTTTTAAAATGTAAATTTACGTGAGGGAAGATAACATTTCCTGTTTAATTTTAATTAATTAATTAGACATTAACACCGTTGGATGCCGGCTCATTGATCTATCGGTTAAGGGCTTCGGCTCGAGACTGGCAGGTCCTAGGTTCGAGTCTCGCGAGTGCGGGATCGTGGATACGCACTGCTGAGGAGTCCCATAGTAGGACGAAACAGCCATCCAGTGCTTCCAGGTTTTCGATGGTGGTCTAGCTTCAATTGACTCATGATTTCAACAGTGAAAATTACTAAATTCTCCGCAAAACCCCCTCTGATCAATTAACTAATTGTTTGTTTATATTATATCCTGTCAATGTCATGCTTTAAAGTTAAATATTTCAAAAGTTTTTTTCTTGATTTTAGTAAATTATTGGATGGTTATTTGACTTAATGTGACTAATTCAAACATTTGTTAAATTGTCAATTATTTTATAAACATCAGAAAATTAAACAATTAAATAGCGCCAAAACTTTAGTCAACTGGTTGAACATTTATAATGTTTTTCAATAAAATGTAATAATAATTTGTTTTCTTAAATTACAACCTACTTATACAACATTATTCCAGACATTTAGACGTAGAAACGCTTACAACATGCGTTTGCAACCAACCCGTATATATATTTATATCAATAATAACAATCATAATGAATACATTCTGTAACATACCTTTCATCTGAGCGAGTAGAACGATGATACCAAGTTTTTCATAGCTATCTATCACCTAAATATACAGTGAATATAAATAGTTAACGTGTTTATAGTATTGTTATAATGAGTATATATGCAATCTGATGAATAAAATCCTGTTCTTCTTGAACCATACCAAAGAGGTTAGTAATACGATTGGGCAACGAGTACTATTGAACCTCAAGTTACATAGTAAACATTTAACAGTTAAATTTCCCTGATAATGATTTATAAATCTATTTATTTTCATGGAAATCATCTCTCGAAATTGCACCATTACTATTACAATGTCACTGTACATATAAATGAACGTAACAATTTTAAGTCATAAACAAATCTTTAAATTTTTTCAGAATGTCAATAAATAATACAGTCAAAAATATAAGTGATGAAATTAACTTGACTGTTTTTAGAATAAAAAAATTCATTACATTATATTCAAATTGGTGCACTACAATTTGGGAAACATATAAGCTGATTCAAGTTAACATTCTGTATGAATCACATCAATGTTAGCAATTTTATTCTATTTATCCTGAGTTTCAATCTCTCCAGATGGGATCGTGGGTGCGCACTGTTAAGGAGTCGAACAATAGGATGAAACAGCCTTCCAGTGCTTTCAGGTTTTCCATGGTGGTCTAGCTTCAACTGACTCATGAATTCAACTATCAAAATTACTAAAAGCTCCACAAATCCCCCTTCTGATAATAATCATCATGTGCTCACTGGTGACTGGCTCCAAGGGGTATTTCTTTGAGTTCTAGTGAGAAGCCGCAACCAGTAGAGTTCTACCAGGTCTGTTGTGAGTTAATAACTCACCGAAGACAATGGTGGTTCAATTTTGTGGATTGATTGAAGTTAGACATTAACATTGTTGGATACTGGCTCAGTGATGTAGAGGTTAAGCGTTCACGCGCGAGAATCGAATCTTGTGTGGCGTGATCGTGGATCCACAGTGCTGAGGAGTTCTAGACTATGACGAAACGGCCGTTCAGTGCTCCCACGTTTTCATTAGTCATCTAATTTCAATTGAATCATAATTTCATTTATATTACAAACAATCCTAAATTCACATGCTTTAACTTTAAATGATTCACTTTACCCTTAACCTGGCCATTTTCCAGATTATTAGTTTGGATATATATGATTGTAAAACCTGAATAAAATTTATCAAGAAGAATATTCTCCATTCAAATCTTAACTCTTTCAATATAATAGGGGCCTTTAAACAATTAAATAATTTAATATTACAAAGATTATTTTTCAAAATTTACCTGTTTTAATTCATCAGCTCCAACTATATCAATAAATGTCCAACATGAACAATCGAATATTATAAAATTAAATGTTAATAATTGATTAATTGTATCTAATTTTTCTATTAATTTTGTTCTTTCCATTTCTAATTCTAATTTTTCATTTAATGTTAATAATTTTTTCTTTATAAAATGATTGAAAAATTTTCTTTTAAAATAATTTTCATTTAAATTAGATTTTTGATGATTTTCATTAGCTTTTTTTGAAAAAAATAAAATAAAATAGAAGATAAATCCATTTGGAAGGAAACATTGAAAATTCTGAAAAAAAATTTTTTCAGAAGGGGGTTTTGTGGAAATTTTATTCCCACAATAGAATGAAACGGCCGTCCAGTGCTTCTAGGTTTCCCATGGTGGTCTAGCGTCAATCGACTCATGATTTCAACTATATAAAAAATACTTGTTAAATCTATTTAAGGAATACTAGCGTGATGTGTCCTACCGATGGTGACAAATATAAGTAGTATGTATCATCAGATGAGAGTAAAATATCTAGCAGCAAAAGGTTAACAAGATCAAAGAAAAGAGAATGAGAACAGAGAACGATTGGTGTGGAAGCAAAAGAAAAATGAAGTCTGAGACGATTGATTGACATTTTGTAAATGAAGAATTTACTGTATGGTTCTCAGATTTTACTGAAATACTCTGTGATTTAGTGTTAAAATACATTTGATTGTTCCCACTTGTGTTCTTGTTAACTACAGTAGTAAGTATCACCAATTGAATGCCTGGAGGCAGAGGGTTGATAAAATAGAAGAGAACATGAACAGAGAGTGATTAGTAAGAAAGTGAAGGAACAATAAAGTGTGAGACAATCAATGGACATTTTCCAAATGAAGAATTTACTGCATGGTTCTCAGATTTTACTGAAATGTTCTGTAATTTTGTGTTTAAATATATTTGATTGTTCCTACTTGTGTTCAAGTTCACTATAAAGGAATTCTAGTAAACTATTTACTATAATCCATTCGTTTGTTTTGTGATGACAATCAGTTTATAATTCATATGAAATAGTATGAAGTTATTTCGTAATGTCTCATTGTCAACTGTTTATAGGCTTCATTAAAATAACCAAAATCATTGATTGAATAAAAAACGTAAAAAGGATAAAAAGATTTATTCGAATTAAACATTGCTAGAACAATAAAGTATGGATGTAGACAGAGAAAATTGCCAAGGTTTATTAAATAATTTTAAAATGTATATACATTTTAATAATCAACTTGGTGTAAATTCATTAATAAACTAATAGTGATTTCTGATGTAGATAAATATCCAACTTTAATTTAAAGAAGAATCAATCGGATGTAGGGTTAATAATCATTGAATTGATACTGATATTAATAGAGTGCTAAATGTTTTGTTTTGAATTCTTATTTCTTTTGTTTTTATAGTTCAGTAGCAACTGCTTCAGTAGAAGCATGATTAGATCGAGTTTCTCTCATTTGTTAATTACTATTTTAAACCGACAATACTCAATAGATAATGTTTAATCATACAGTGCTTTAAAACTATGTAAATCATTTTGGTTTTTAATGTAATAATTATTGTATAGCTCATCTAGTCATTTTACGTTTCGAAATCAGTTCTATCAAACGATTCTTTATATATTCTGAAACAAACTTAATAATTTCATATAAAGATTTCTGTGTTAATGACTGTTAAACTTTTAGTGATTCCGTCATTTTTAAAACATTGAATTTTGCATAAATCAATCTAAGGAAAAACCTGAGGAATGTATAGATTCATGTTTTCTGATTCTATATTGTTCACGTTTGCGATTCAGTAGTAAAATATCTATATTAGGTGTTTAAATATCTGTATAAATGTTCTTAGAATAAATTGTTTGCTAACTAATGAGAATTGGCTTCAAAAACGGAGCCAAAAATCAAACTCTTAGTTAAGATATATTTTCACTTGAAAAGGTGAATAAGAGCATGTACATGAGTAAATGTGCATTACAATTGATATTTCGTGTGTTGGATTAACGTATTCATAATGAAGGTTAAATAATTGTTGAACTACATTTAATTTCATAGAATTATTGAATAAAATACAATAAGTAATGATTTATTTTTAGAAATGAGTTCTGTAAGTATTATAGTAATTTTAATAATTTAGTTCATGAGACAATCCAATCCTGGAAACCCTGAACCGCCGTCTCGTCCTAGTACGGCACTCTTCAACAGTGCACATCCACGATCACGCCCCACGAATTTCGAACCCAAGAACTAACAGTCTTGTGTGTAAACGCCCAAACTTTATATCACCGAGCCAGTATCCAACGGTGTTAATGTCTAACTTCAACGAAACCACGAAATTAAGCCACTATCCGAGAGTTTGAGAAATCATTCTTAAGGATTATAATCCATGGATTTAGACAAGCTGTTCACTGTGTAAAATGCTTTTGTAAGTACGTTTAGATAAAGTCTGCAGTCTCTTTTTTTAAAACAATTGGCTCAATCAATCTTATGAAATTTACCTGCAGGTTCTTAACATCAGTGTGGTTGAATGACCACTAGAATTTGTTAAAATTGTTGTGTCATCAATATATTCGTTGATATTTCTTCAGAAACATATGAAAAGTGTTCTCAAAATCTTAGCTAACTAGAAAGGAATTAAGTAGTACTGATCAGCGAAAAAACTCAAGCTGGAAGATGTCTAGTATTATACATTAAAATCGAAATAATTTGCCTATTATTCATGTAACAAGATGTAAATGATAAAAAAATAATCATCTAGTCAATAACTAATTTAGGCATCTGTAATTTGCCTTCATAAAATTTGAAAGAATTAAATGAAATATTTTAGTGATTCAATAGTGTACACATTTTTTTTCAAATATAGGAGTTACTCTGTTAAATATCTATACTGATTCCAATTTATTTCATTTTTTTGCTTCTCATGAAATTAGATGAACATAAAATGTAAAAAACTGAATTGAAATTGAAAACCATCAGCGTGTTTTAGTTTACTCAAATTTTACTATAGAAAAAATATATTTTGTGTTTAGGCACTAACTGACTATCAGCTTATTGATATTTGATTACATGTTATTCACTTTGAAAAAATAAAGTCTAGGAATTAACTTAATTTAAAATGACTTGAAGGAACTGTGTAAACATAGGAATCTAAATGACTTTGATAATTTATTAACAATCTATGGAAAAGTATCAAATTCAGCTGAGATATTCACATAATTTGCTAATCTGATGTAAATGTTTTCATAAAATCTAAAAAGTTTAAAATAGCCTTGATTTGTCTTCAAAATTTAAGACTCATGTTTTATTACGCGTCCAATTGTGGATGCTAATAGTACGACCGGAAAGCAGTATCATTTTGAATGTTGTGGCCGTTACATCGCAGCATGGGCTCCTCAGCAGTGCGCATCCATGATCACGCCCGCAGGATTCGGACTCACACTAGGACAAAATGACCAACCAGTGCTTCCAGGTTTTCCATGGTGGTCTAGCTTTAATTTACTTATGATTTCAACTATCAAATTGCTAAAATCTCCACGAATCCCGTTTTTGATAATAATCATCATATGCTCACTAGTGACCGGGTCCAAGAGATATATCCTGGTGTTCTAGTGACAAACAGTGACCAGTGTGATTCAACTGGGTCTGTTGTGAGATAGTAATTCCCTGAAGACAATGGTGGATGGTGGTTCAATTTTGTGGATTGGATGAAGTTAGATATTGACATCGTTGGACGTCGAGTCAGTGATCCAGAGTTTAATCGTTCGCGCGCGAGGCCAAATATCCTGGGCTGGAATCTCGTGGGGCGTGATCTTAAATGCGTACTGCCGAGGAGTCTTACAATAGGACGAAATGGCCGTCCAGTGCTTCCAGGTTTTCGATGGTGGTCGAACTTCGGTTGACTCATGAATTCAACTATTAAATCTTGTATTCGTTGATTCCGTCTATTGAAAACAAATTAGTAAAGCTACAAAAATGAGTTTAATATCCATACATAATGAATACAAAAGACGATACACTGTAAAATGTCCTTATACCTGATATACAGTTGTGCTTGTTTTAGCTGTATCAATTGTAGTGTCTTTTACAAACTTTATTCTTTGTATATTTGTTGATATAAAAATTTCAAGATAAATCATGTGAGATTAACTTTTTTTCTTACCTTAGTTACTGGTTTATTTTATGATGAATAAAAAACTTTTTTGAGACATTAAGACTAACAAAATAAAATTTTATTATAAGAGCATTCAACACAAGATAAATGTTACATAATATTTGTCCGGATATCACTAGTTAGTTGTTTAATAAGCAGGTTTGTAGTGAACGAGAACACGCGTGATGACAATCGAATGTATTTGAGCACAAATTACAGACTATCTCACTAAATTCTGATAACCATACAGTAAACAGTTAATTTGCAAAATAATAATCAATTGTCTCAATCTTGACTGTTCCTTATGCAAATATCAGTCTGTCATCTCTGATTTCATTGTTCATGCATTTTCTTACCGAACGCGCTTCATTCCTGCTCTTTCCTTATCGATCTTTATCCAAAATACATTTTATGTCTGACCGTCACCATATACTACTAATGTGGATATAAATAGCCCACACCACAAGTTCAAAAGAATTCTTATAAGTATGGTTCATATTTATTAAATAAGATTATTAGAATAAATAAATCAACAAAGAACTAATTTAACATGAAAAGAATGAAATTAACAATTTAAGAAAGACAAAACAAATATACATATCATATTTACCTACATGCTTCTAATGGATCAGGTGTTTCTTCCATACTTTTTATTTCATTTGAATGATCATCTGATTTATCTATTTCAATATCCATAGATTGAGATGATAAACGTAGAATATTTTCAATTCGTTTTATTCTATTTAAACAACGATTTAATTTTAAATTTAAATCAAATGGATTAATTCCTGTTTGTAAATAAACTGTTTCACGAAAATATTCAGCACAAAAATAGAATATATTTCCTTCATAACGAATAATTTTAATTTTATCATGTTTTGTATACTGAAATATAGAAAACAAAAAGATCCTAGATGAATATATAAGAAAATTATTTGAATGGGGTTAACAAATTAAAAATGATAAATAAATCAGGTTAGTTGCCGTGTCCACTTCAAAGTGCCAGTGAAATAATTGACAATCAACCAGGATTAAAAAAACTGTTTTTATGCTACTTTCGTATGACTCGGAAGTGTACACCTTATTGATGGAAAAGTGAAATTCAACTCAGAGTAAACTTAAATGTATTCAATAATTTTGCAAAAGATAAATGCGATTACTATTAATGTATTCTATCAATTGAAACTTAATACACTGATCCAGCCTTTCGTTTCTCATTTTATGAGCTGTGTTGTAATACCAACAGATGATGCTCAAAAGTAGACATGGACAAAGCATTCCCATAAAGCATTAAATTCGACTGGTGAATCAGATTGTTACATTTTGTAAGAACAAAAGTCTTTGTTTAGTATTTTATGTTCGCTATGTTGTTGTTGATGATGTTTTTATTCAGAGATTTCGACTGTTTGTACATGGTTTAGACTCGCTGAATATTCACAGTGTTGGTTGTTTTAAAAAAATTACCCATCCTTACATAAAGTAAAAATTGAAATAATTGCATTATGTATACTTCTCATTGTGACATGAAAATATGATGGAGTTTAGATTGGATTAATCAGATCTCTTAATCTGTTTGATAATAATTTAAATATTGTATAGATTAGAATACAATCTTAATATTCACCTTCAACTATGAATTTCGAGATCAACGATAAGATCTTGAACAATGACCCATAATACACTGAAATCAGCAGCAAAACAAAAGGTGACAGCTTCGATTAGTCTAAGTGTTATATCCTAACGAAGAAATGAGTACGGGTAACTTCCGAGACCTATTAATCGACTATTATCCTATATATTCTCAATGTTTAACTATTGAGTAATTATATTGTGTATATCTATATTCATCTTATCATAAGCTTCATTTTCAACTATTAATTATTATTATACGATTTACTGTCGCCAAATTATATTCAGTTCATTGACTATTGTCTCTCACGTTCACAGCCACATTTGGCTTGATCTTGTTCAAATATTATTTTCTATTTTATGGTATGATGCGTTCTTTCTGTCTGGTATATTAACCAAGTATGCTTGAAATAAATGATTCGCATAGCAAAAGCTGTAATTGGTTTTCTGGACTCAACTGGAAGGGCTAGGCGGACAAGGGACCGATAAGTAAGGTAGACTGCTCATACTGGTCGAACGTCTTTGTTTTGCCGCAGTGTTAAGATTAGACAAGTTGTATTCCAATGGGTGGATAATTCACGTTATAAAAATCTGAACAAAAAATTATAACGAATTGGATACGGCCTTTTTTTAAGTCGTAACACTAAAATTCCTCAACGTTGCTTCCACACTTGGGGTCAAATCATGAAGTTTAAGATCACGAAGTAAATGTGATACTACTAGACAAAGGAGTTGTTACCTGATGATACAATTTTCAAAATTTTCCCTTTTTCATCGATGTTTTTCACCATACTGTTGGAATATCATCGATGGTCCACGGTGTTCCAACAATATATTTTGAATTTATTTGAATTTTAGTACCTATTCATCACATAATTATCGGATATCTGACCTAATAATGACAATTATTACTAAAATTCAAATGAATAAAAACAATATGCAACATAAACTGATTACGTACATTACACTCACATTTTTATAATCTCTACTGTTTCGATAAATTTCTGTATTTTGAATTTGTTCAATACTGTGAATTTTAGGCCATTGTATTCGTAATATAACAACTGCAACAGACATTATAATACCTAATAGAAGTCCATAATTTACACTAAGTAATACTGTGCAAAGAAACGTAAACATCCAGACTGCCTAAAATGAAAATAAACGTACACATATAAAGACGTAAGTCAACATAATTTAAAGCTTTTTAAAATGTTTTGTAACTATGATAAGCAAACAAATCGACTTTTTCATGGATACTAATCCAGGAAAATGTATACTCTTGTGTTTTGTAACAAGATGACAATATTAGAAAATTCTGATTTTACAAGAAATTAGTTAGTCGAAAACATATCAATTGGGAAAAAAAGCATACATGTTTCTAGTCTCAGTATGTAAATAAGTACACTTTAATAATCAAAGTAAATAAATGGTAACCACCTATAATTTATGAGAATTGTTCTATTATAGAATATATGATTTATTTAATGAATGTGTAATCTTAGCTACTAAGTTTGTTAGTTATAGATAAAATGAAAATAACACATCTTAATGTACGTAAATGTTCATCAACCTGAGTCAGTTTCATTTCATAAATTATTAACCAACGGAATCGGAGATTTATTACATTTATTCGACAAACACTAGGATGAAGATCAGTAAAGCATTATTTTACAATATTTAAGGTTATTCGACCATTATGATAGATTGTTTTCCTTATGAATCAGAATTAGCTGTATTCGATTTGTTTATGTTCTTGAAATACCAAAATAGTCATTTGAAAGTGAAATCGTGGCAACAAAAGGTGTGAATAGAAAACCTGCGTTCTAAGTATCCCTAGGGTTGTTCTGAGCAAAGGAAAAATATTACCTATGTATTATAAGAAGAAATTAGGAGTGTTTTATAGGAGATTGTCGTATTTAAGATATAAGAAAATGTCGTTTTTACAAACCTCACTTTATGACAGCCCCCAAATGCCCTGGTACGGCCGACAGTGGGGAGAGTCTGCTCTCCCTCTCGAAATGCTCTCATATGGCCACGCGAATATATAGCCTCTGACAGGGAAGTCCTACTCACTGCCTTCTCGTGGCGGGGGTGTTGTTCACAAAAGTGAGAGGACGAAAAGCGAATGTCCGGCACTTTAATCGGGTTGGTGGACACTCTCCGTGTCCACCTAGGGGAGTTGGAAAACCCTGATTCCAAACCAATGGTGCACATGGGCTCCAGGATCCTGAGGGAACAAATGGCGTATGAACCGATTGTTGGTCACCGGCTACCATGGGACTGCATCTCCTTACGATGCTCCACTGCCTTTTGGACTAGACCTTTAGGTCAAAGGCTCCGGGTGTGGCCCCCTAAGAATACCACCTGCTTCGGTTTGGGCACCTGGGCAGTATAACAGCCCTCACACAAATTAAATGAGATTTGTGCGGCGTATATATATCTGGCGCCCCTTTGTACCAGTATTTATGTATTTAAATAAATAAATAACTTTGTGACATTATTGGATATAGTAGAATATCACATTATTTGTAATATCCAACGGTGCTGAACCTTAAAATTGAGAACACTCAGTAACTTATTAATCTTTTTATTTTATATTATGAATTTGGATATTTCTATTTATTTATCAAATAACCAAAAGGTAATCTATATATAATTTAGATGAGTATTATTAAGCTTCTACAAATACTTGGAATTTTCAGTTTGTAGGTCATTTTTAACTAACATGATCATCTGATGTTACAGTAACACGTGCTTATATACATAGCAATTTCTAAATCAATGAAAACATTTATAAAGATTACACCGTCAGTTATTTATAATATGATGTAAACATTGATGGAAAGATTATACTTGTTATGAAAGATATAATTTATCTTATATCTTCTAATTTCCATTTAACAGCTTCAAATTCATTGCTTACACAAAGTAGAAAATTCTAGTCAAAAACCATAGTCTCTGTGTTTGAAAGACGTCTGTAATGCTCCAGTTGGTTTCTTTCTATAAATGTACAAATGCCTTGATTCTTTATTAAGCAAACGTTATATATAAGTAGGATTCATGTGAAAAGATGTGTTATAACTTACTATTATTACTATTATCGTTAGCTTTATTCAATTTTATATTTTTCGTACAATATAGAATTTTCAGCATAATGTATTTCAACAAGTTTCCGTTTCTTACTTCTTGATCGATCCTGTCGACAAATACTGAGTGACCACCAGTTAGAAGTTAGCATTCCAGTCAATTGACATATAAAAATTTTACATTCTTTTCGTTGCATATTGCCCGCCAGCAACCACGCTATCTCTGATTAGGCCTCTTGTAACTTGTTTATGACATTGTGCCCTATCAATATATGACGTAATGATATTGAATCTTTCTTATAGTTTGCTGTAAACATTGACATTCAGTGTTGAATTTATTCAAAGTAAGAAGTTATTTATCATAGGAATTTGGAAGAGTGTAAATTCAATTTACTCAACATTTACTAACATCATATTTAACAGTATTACTCCATAAAAACATAGTAACTTTACCCATGCTGGGCAACAAATCATTGTACCTACATTGTTTATTTTATCAATCTATGTTTAACGCCAATTTTTCTGTCATTAAAATGTAGAGGTAAGCAAATTTTAAATTTACTGAACCAACCATGATCAGTTCAATTATAACAGTCCAAGAAGTTGAAATGACTTTATTCCATTATATCATTAAAAATTCACCAAGTGAAACGAAATCGATGTTATATACATTTGCAATTTAAACGAACTAAAGTAATGAAACCCTTGTAGTTGATCATAATTCGATCAATACTAATCATGTTAAAGATGATCATAATCACATTACTAATGAAAATCGATAAAAATTATCTTGTCATTACTGATAATAAGAAAAATATTAAATATTAATTATCAGAAGAGGTTTTGTGGAGATTTAGTATTTTTCATAGTAGAAAGCATGAGTCAATTAAAGCTAGACCACCATGGAAAACCTGGAAACACTGGACGGCCGTTTCGTCCTATTATGGGACTCCTCAGCAGTGCGCATCCACGAACCCGCTCTCGCGAGCGAGACTCGAACCCAGGACCTACCAATCTCAAAACAAACGGATGCATTTTGAAAGTCTCTGAAAATGATGATGCATCAAGTATGAAAAATGCATGTTATTCATTAAAAATAAACTATAATAATCGTGGATGCGCACTGCTGAGGAATTCCAAAATAGTACGAAACGGCCGTCTAGTGTTTCCAGGTTTGCCATGGTGGTCTAGCTTTAATTGACTCATGCTTTCTACTATGAAAAATACTAAATCTCCACAAAACCCCTTCTGATAATTAATATAATCATATGCTCACTAGTGACTTCGAGAAGTATATCTAGGAGCTCTAGTGAGAAGCAGTGACCAGTGGAGTTCAAAACCACGTCTGTTGTGAGATAGGAACTCATTGAAGACAATTGGTGAATGGTTGTTCAACTTCGTGGATCAGTTGAAGTTAGACATTAACACCGTTGGATGCCAGCTCAGTGGTCTATCGGTTAAGTGCTTCGGTTTGAGACTGGTAGGTTTTGGGTTCGAGTCTCGCTCGCGAGAACAGGTTCGTGGATGCGCACTGCTGAGGAGTCCCGTAATAGGACGAAACGGCCGTCCAGTGTTTCCAGGTTTTCCATGGTGGTCTAGCTTCAATTGACTCATGCTTTCTACTATGAAATATTAAATAATTAATTATGAAAAACATCACAGAAACTTACACTGTCCCATGGAGAAAATCTCCAAAACATTACTAAATCTTTTGCTTCCATAAACATTCCTTTAATAGCAACAATAATGATTGCCGATAGACAGAACTTTAGGGTAAATAAAAAGAAATGGGAAAAAACTGGTAAGGAAAGTTATAATACATCATTTGATAACAAAGAAGTATTATTAAAGAAGTATATTATTTCTCCTATTATACAGAAATCCCTAAGATCTATTTATACACTGGTAATAATTCTAATTATCAGAAAGAGGTTTCGTGGAGATTTTAGTAACTTTATATAGTTGAAATCATGAGTTAATTGAAGCTAGAATACCATGGAAAACCTGGAAGCACTGGACGGCCGTTTCGTACTATTGTAGAATTCCTCAGCAGTGCGCATCCATCATTATTATAGTTTATTTTTGATGAATAACATGCATTTTTCATCCTTGATCCATCATCATTTTCAGAGACTTTCAAATTGCATCCATTTGTTTTGATTTGTCCATATCCTTACCCAATAGTCTCAGGTCCACCACTCAGAGTTTCAACATATTAGACAGTTTTTCATCGAATTACTCTGAAAGTATATTATTACATTGCAAAAGATATTTATTTGAATTTAGAATTCTAACGAAAATTTATTTAGTTAACTCAACTTTATAGAGTTGTGAGATTTAATGTTAATCAAAGATGAATATGATGGTTTAATAATCGTTTCTTTTATTAAGTTTGGATAAACTCGGTGTTATAAACTGCGATTATGTTAAAATATGTTATTTACACGTGAATACAAGGTATGCTCAGCAGGTTGGATAGCGAAAGCACACTGTGTGAAACATTTAGAAGTTTTAGAGACTAACACAAACTAGAATAGGTTGTAAGTTCTATGGTCTATGTCGTTATGTATTACATGTGCTTTGACATTCAGTTTAAAATCATTAGTGATATAGCTAGCTAATAAAATGAAATATCTATCACACTACATTTTTCATATTTCTTTATAATCATATACTCTATTGTTATGATATCAATGAAAACATTTTTCCAACTAAATTATATCCAACTTACAATCGGCACAGAAAAAAGCAGTGGTCCAATGAAGAACAAGACCAGTATAATTAGTAAGCATGAGAAAAGACTTGCAACTTGTGTACGTCCACCAGCAGATACGTAAACAGCAGATCGTGATAATGATGCAGCCGCTGGATATGCATGGAAAAATGAACTGAATGCATTTGTCACTCCGAAAGCAATAAGCTCCTAAATTGAAAATATCGGAATATTGTTTTGTTAAGTAGCATTGAAGTAAAGAAATATTTTAATCATGAATAATTTCAAACGATTATTTTTCTGAAATCCAAAACAAATATCTGTTGATCACTTTTATCCTGTCAGAAGTATTAATTATCTTACCAATGCAAGAGGCTTATGGCTTTCTCTAATTTGTCACAAAATGATTAGTGTACTTGTTTTTGAAAAACCGTTTTGATGGAACCGTATTTTATGTACAAGTGAATCAGATCTACTCCATTCAAGTAGTCGTTTCGACAAGTCTTTATATATCACCTACAGTTGATCCTATTACGAATTCTCATACGTTCATTAAGTACATAGAAACTACTTTTACATTCTAATCTTTCGAATTTTCTCAAAAGCATAATTCATTTATATCAACTACTTTTTGAATAACTGAAAAGTCGTTTAGGATCATCTGTAAAATGTAGTTCTGTCACTACTTTTTCCACAATTTTCCCTGACAGTGAGTGACTTAATTTTGTAAACATAAGAGGAGGTCAGAGGGTACTCAATGATAAATCATTCACTGTCACTGAAGTAACTTTTCTCAACAAAACCGAGTAGAATTCGGAAGTACTTTGCCATTTTATGCTCAGATAAATCACTACATTTATGATGAATCGCCTTATATTTCTAGAACTAGATAGTCATGGCCACAGCTCAACTCCATTTTCCTGTGTAGGATTTTTGTGGTCCAAGTATGGCTAGCATAAAAATAGTGCGATTAATCATTATCCTGCTATGAGTTTAAACACTATTCTTTCAAAATACTATTTTTCAACTTCAAATAGTTTTTTAATTATTCGTTCATAATAAAGGAAACCAAATAATCAATCGGCAGAAATGTATAAATGTTAGTAGTGGAATCCAGGACGAGAGATTCATTGTATTTGGGACATTTCAGTAGTATGTACCTAGATTCTAAAGTTAATGTTCACTCTGAGACTCGAACCCAGTACCTTTCTATTCAAATGCCATCACGTTACCCACTTAACTGATGATTCATAAATAGAACTAAACGCACGTTCTTGATCCCACTCCTAGACACCATTCATCAACGCTCAAAAGAACTTTTGCCTTAATGGCAACATCCAGGCCATTCATACAGGATCCACGTATGCCAAAAAGAAACTGTTCAATTGCAATTCTAAACATCTAAGCTAAGATTCAAACAATCAATACAAATTAACCAAATAACTAATTTTTATGATATCTCATTGTTCAGAAATTTAGCATTACTAGTGAAAACCTCTTGTGAAAACTCTTGCTTTTGATATGAATACAAAGAGATTACTTAACCTTCATGTGATTTATGTCTTACTGCAAACATTTCTTAGATTTTGTGTTCAAGTAAAATAGACTTTAGCTCTTAAGAAAATTGAATGACATGAAACTAATATACATTTTAAATCATATCAAAAGTCGATTAGTCTCATTTGAAGGGGGTTTTGTAGAGATTTTAGTAATTTTTATATAGTTGAGATCATAATTCAATTGAAGCTAGACCACCATGGAAAACGTAAAATCACTGGACGGCCGTTTCGTCCTATTGTGGGACTCCCTAGAAGTCCTGGGTTCAAATCTCGCGAAGCGGGATCGTGGATGCGCACTGCTGAGGAGTCTCATAATAGGACGAAACGGCCGTCCAGCGATTCCAGGTTTTCGATGGTGGTCTAGCTTCAATCGACTCATGATCTCAAATATATAATCTCATCTGATTTCTTCATTCAATGTTAAACTACACACCAATTCGGTAAGTCCTCAATTTCATCTAGGAAAACGTAGCTGATTATTTCGATTGGTTTATGCTAATTATGGTAGTTCTGTTTGTACTAATTTGTAGTATATATTATATTCTAAATAGATCATTATATCTGAAACAAGCACTTCATTGTTTTACTTTTTATCTTTCTTTTTCATTGAACTTTTCTCGTTATGTGCTGTTTTGTAACCACTGTCAATAATTTGGTTAGGTACATCTACCTATAATATATTTACGTTTCAACAATTCTGTGTTTATAATATTCTGAAAATAATTATGGTAGCATATTTTTAAAATACTTGAGCAACTAAGTTTGTATAACTAAAACAAATACACAATGTAACCTATTTATTTAAGGAAAAAAGTGTTTGTATATACTCACCTACTGAAATGTTTTGTTTTAAATAATGTACATAACTATGAATGATTAGTTGACTATTGATAAAAGGTATTTAGGTAGGGATGAAATCAGTTGCTGTTGAACTATTGTGTCTAAGATAAGTATCATTTTGTTCAAAATCGGATACAGTTTCAAAGATCCATTTATTCCTGATACTTTTCTGAATTCCAAGTCTTAATAATATTTCACATTTCTTCTCAATCTTACTCCTTTATTTCCAATCGTATTCTTTGTTTAAATTCCTATCTTTCACTGATAATACAAATATTTCAGGTGTATTGATCTTCTATCCCCCTTCTTGTGTAAAATTTGTTAATTTGGACTGATTACTACTTTTTCTATGATGAAACTTTGCATTGCATTTTATCCATTCTGTGGGTATCTGAACTTGAAAAGTTCAATTTTCTAACTAAAACAATTAAATTATACCAAACTTCTAATTTCAAGGCTATTAAACTAGCAGTCATATTGAAATTCATCATACCATATTAGTTAAATGCAATCTTTTTTACTTGACATTTTTATTTGATTATAAAGCTAATGAAGTTACCATCAAGAGGTTTGGAAGCATTTTGCACAAGTGAAGACTTGAATGAACCGTAAAGAATTAATTAATTAGACAATTGTAATAAGTTAAAATGAAGTAACACTGTTAAAATTTTTTGGGTTACTTGATTAGTATTGATTTTATAGTTAAAACGTGTTGCAAATATTCGTGCAAGGGATACACTAATTGAAATACCAATAATTGCTGAAATAATAGTGTCACCAATATGTGGACCCATTAACGAGATATCCGGTACTTCTGGATACTGAATACTGAAATAAAATCATATTGAGAAATTGTATTTGACAAAGGGAATTAATCTGATTTTGGATTTTATGTAGACTCGTTTATCTTGAGAAGAAGCTACTCTTTGGATAAATTAATCTACTGACCAGTGAAACTCAAGTTTGTAATCGTTTATATGGATAAATTTACAAGTTCATAAATTTTTATGACGTCAATTCAAACTGTTAGCTTCTTCCATTTATCGAACGACAATACTCTGTTGTCATATTATTATCAGTAATGATATTAAAATATTATCTACCATTAATTTTCATGTTACTATCCTAAATATCAACTCCGCTTGTAGCTCCTCCAGGGTCTACTGCCAGTTCCAAGCCGGGATAATGGAGGAGGGTTGGGCAGGGGGTTAGCGACTCCATCTGGTAGAAAACTAACTCGTTAAAAAACGCTAACGGGAAAAAATATTCAAGATCTCTACAGATTATTAAAGAACGAAGGATATTTAATTTAACAATTACTTTCAATGACCTTGTAACAAGGCTATACTTCTTGTAGCCAAAATAAAACATACGTAAATAAGTAAATACGAAAATGTTATATGCTGAACTTTTGAATAGATCACAGATTAAATACATCCTTAATGTTCATAGTTTAAATTAAGGTTTGATCCTAAATTACGGAAATCTCACAGTATCCGCTAAGCCAACTTCACGTCCTAGATATGTCATTTGTAAATTTGGAAGGTCATTTTAAAACGAGGGTATGAAAACTCTTTGTCGTGTGTTAAGTTTTAATAAAACGACTTCAATTAATAATAATTAATAGTAATCTGGTTATGTTAGTATAATGTATAATAAGAGCCAAAAAATTGGAATCTTAAGTTCATATGGATTAAAAAAAATGAATCTGCAAATTAAGGCATTGGGTAGATACAAATAGAATTGTTGATAAGGGTTCATTATATATATATATAAAGCATGGAGTAACTTCATTGTGAGCCATTGTACACAGAGAGCTTGAGTATACCTCTTTTGGCTGTGTAAGTTTGGTTTCCTGGAAATGATTCCACTAGCTTCCGCTATGCAGAATAGGCTTAACCTTATACATTTAGGAAGATTGCTCTGAAATTTGTATGAAATTAAATGATTTCATTTATTCATATGAGATGTTTGCTATATGACAAGCGAGAAAGAATTACTTTGCTGATAGATTCTGTAACCCCAAGTCCCAACCATTCTGATACATGTTCACGAACAGTCAAGGGAAAATGACTCTGAGTACGCCCTTGTAACTGGCCCCGCAACAGCAGTTAAATTGGTATTAGCATATGAAAGAGCTCATGATTGATATCTTATACTTAATCCTTTGAAGTCAACCATAATATCCCATTTATAATTTAGTCCTAGATAAAGAGATTTCTTGCTGATTGTGTAAGCTTTTATCCTATTCTTCGGTTTCGACATATATTTTTTGACTAAGCTGGACAGCCTTTGCTTTATAGATTGTTCTTTAATGTATCCATTTCTTTACCTACACTATCTTCAGTAAATAAAAGTCTGGCTTTATGGTTGAGACATTTGACTGCAGGACCCAATGACAAAGTTATTAAAAGTAATAGGTCGTTCAGTCCATGGGATCTTTCAACCATCAAGATCAAGTGGGCTCCAAGGTGCACTGAAAAGACTTGCTGAGTTTTTTTATTATAATTAAAGATTGACTGAAGAGAAAACCATTTAAGGCTTTATTGAAAGCTTCAACCTAACATACTATTGTCTGAAATTTCATTTCAAATTTATCCGTCAATGTAAAATCAAATCAAATATTAAATAACTGTAAAAGAATGTTTCAAATCTAATTCAAACTGTTTGAACTAACATTACGAAATCAGAAAATAGTATCTTTCAAATATTTTATGCTAATGAGGACCTTTTTTAGATACTAAACAATCTATTCATGAATTATGTTTTTGAAAGTACTAAAAACATGAGAAAGCAAGGAAATATGGTTTAGTTATCTAAAGGACTCACTACACATGGTCTTAGCTCAGTGAGCCAAGAAGCGTGTTCTAAAAAAATCTAAATGACTCGATAAACAAATACTCGGAATAGACTTTCAAAAAACTGTAATCGTTTGTTAACCAAATGTAATCTGTTTTAATAAACATTTTTTTATTTGTAAAACACTTTTTAATGAAGAAAAATACGAAATATCTTACCCTTTCGCTATTTCACCAACAATTTTAACATCATATTTACCATTTAGATCAACTGAATATGAGACTATAGTTGATATTATAACCTGTGATATAGAATGATTAATAATACTTTAGGTATAATAAGTGAATATAACAAACAGAACTGGTTTACAATTGAAATATAATCTGCTTACTTTATATTTCTGATAAGAGAAGCCTCAACTTACTAGAAAAAAATGTATACTTCATATTATTTTGAACATGCTTTTGTTTATGATTGCTATAATATCTTGTTTGGTTTACTTTTAAATGATCTGTAATAAAGTACAGTTTTATATCCTAATTTTAAACTAAGTTCTAAAGAGTGAATATAGAAACCAGGATGTTTACGTTTTTTTTAAAAATTATACTTTAAAAGTATATTTAAGCAGCATTTATTTCATCGAGACTGTTAAAAATATGTCATCATCTCGAATATACATTAAATTTTAATCAACTCAATTCTTTATCAAGCTTTATTGGACAGAATATTTGTGGATTTCTCACAGCTACTATACTTCAACCGCTTCAGTGCCCCGCATACATACATATTTGAAGGTTATGAAAATATAATGAATACATCATGGAAGTATGAAGATCAACCAGAGGCTGGATTCGTAGATAAACATACGCTTTCCAGTTCATTGATGATCGAAAACAATTTATAACAATCTAAAGTTTCTCATGTGACATAAATAACTCATGTATATACGTAATGATTTACTGTAGTGAACGAGAACACCAGTAGGGACAATCAAATGTGTTTGAACTCAAAATTACAGAATCCCTTAGTAAAATCTGGGAACCATACAGTAGATTCTTCATTTGCGAAATGTCAATCAATCGTCTCAGACTTCATTGTTTCTTCGTTTTCATACCAATCATTCTCTGTTCACGTTCTCCTCTCTTCGATCTTTTTAACCTTCTACCACCAGGCATTTCACTTTCGATTGATGATGAATACTACTTATATTTGTTGACATCAGTAGCACGCACTCCTTTACTATTAAATCCATTGTTCATCCACTTTGACCTTCCATGTTTACTTTCACAGGTATAAACAGATTCAATCCACAAGGATTTTTATAAATTTATGATTTAAAGAATGGTTAGAAAGTTTTACAAGTAGCTAGAACCATGATTATATCTAGAAAGATAATTTTTCTGTTAGAATAATTAATTATAGAGCTAATTTAACACTAATTTATAAAAACTTAACGAATTCTTTTTCTTATTTTAATCTCAAGCGATGAAAATGTCGGAAGTTTAAAAGTATGATCTTGAAGGACTAGACTTCATTTAATAAACAGTCCAATATTTTCTACTTAATTTATTCGTTTAATAAGTAATACTATCAACTTTAAAGTTCCAAATTCTTGATTATAACTGATTGTTTTCTAAATAAAGATAGAACAAATATTTATTTAAATATTTATTTAAATTCATAAAGGTAACTAACTGCATGAAATGATTGTTTTCTATCTAGACTGAATTCTTTTATCAAATATGTCAAAAGTATTTAAAAATTAATATTAAAATAACAACAACGGAAATTAAACTCACAATAATTAAATCTATAGGAAGAGGTATTAATGAGATTTTCTTAACAAATGGACTAATCCAATCTTTGTAAATAGCCAAGATTGTTATACATCCGCTAGCCATCAATACTGTTGGTATGTTGGCATGTTGAATAGTACGAAAAATTTCATAGTATGTCTATTTAATGGAAAAAAATACCCACAAATAAAGCTAATTCTCATTTGTACACGTTTCCTGAATAAAACTATACTAAAGTATAAATTCACTTGGTATTGTTTGGTTGAATCTTCCCATAGATGTTTAGGATTGTAAATGATCAGTCTCTTATTGGCATATGCGCATACTGTGCATATTGCCTCGATATAGCCTTAATTCACAAGCATTATGAGCAAAGATGGATAATGCTATGGCGTTTGAAGCGAAAGGTACTGGGTTCTAGTCCTAGAGTTGACACCAACTACAAGATGCAGTCATATCCAGCTGACGAGTCCCAAATAGGACGAAACGCACATTCTGAACTCCACTCCTAGCTACTATCCATCTTTGCTTATTATACTAAAGTATGTTTATCTCATGGTAGTCATGGAACAAATTACGGCTGATATTAAAATGTTTTTATAATTCCATGAAGATCCAGAAATATTGATATGAAAAGATAGTTTAAAAACTTCTGTTGTGTTAATCAGGCATTAAAGCACATTCATGACTTAAATAACCTAGTTCTAGAAATTACAATCAATTACGATTACTAGTAAACCGCGAATATTTTTCTTCATGTTGCAGTTAGATTTCGGTTTAACTCAGTACAATTGAGACAGAAATAAATACCCAACTTGTCACTGCTACAAAAATTCATTAAATTTTTTTTACTGAACTATGTACTATACTATATACTGTAAATTGTAGGCAAGAAACATTTGTAATTTGAATGAAAGTGTATTAAAAGCATAAACTAGTTTTCTTATTCCTGTGTGTTATTTATAAATCATCTATTCGTACAGTATGCAACTCAGTATTCGATAAATTCATAGACTTAAACACGAACTGTGTCATTTGTATTCACCTCAGAGTAACGAGATAACGATTAAAGACTGAGGCGTTCTTGTATTCGTTAGATAACATTACACTTCACAAGTGTTACTTACTGTCATTAAACCTTAAGGCTGTTAGCTAATTCTCGTAACCGACTATAAGATTTACCAGTTCAGAATTCTATGTTTAGTATTTTACATCTGAGTGATACCCTAAAAATTGCAATTCACTAAGATTAACTTACATTACCTTAGAGAAAATAAATATAGATAAAATGATTATGTCAATTAAAAAGTAAACGAATCACTTGAATGAGATTAAATGAAAGTTTGGCCAGGATTACAGCTAACATATGAATTCCAGATTTATGGTGAAGAAAAACAACAGTTTTTTATGGATCCTGTTAGTCCTTACTCTTTTCGTTTCGAAGAATAACAATGTTATTATAGTATAAAATTAAGAAACTTTATTAGTAGTTCTGTCAAAATGGTTTTGAACTTTAATCGGAGTTAGTAAATTTCAAGAGTTCACGCTTTAAAAAAAATAATTCATTTTTAAAACAGTACAGTATCAAAATTATAAGCTATGTGAAAAATACTGAATGTATCTAATTAATCAAGTTGTGTGAAACTCACATATGGTATGGTGAGTAAACCAGGAAACCGGGGCAATTTTAAACCTAGTACATTCTTTACTTGAGTTGTAAATACATGAACAGCTACTCCAACAGTAAAACCAGATGTCATCGGTAAAGAGAAGTATCTGATTAAACTGCCTAATCTGAATAATCCCATTAGAAACTAAAATTAATAAAATAAAAGGCCAAAATTTATACATTACTTGGTAAAGATTTATTACTGCAACTTAACTGAAACATAAATTGATAAATAAAGTTATGTAATACTGTGATTTTATTTTATTGCAATGAGATAGTCTGTTGAAAGCCTTGCCAACTACAATCTCCTAGAACTGTGCAGTGTTATTTGTGTCACAAATACTATCGGAAACAGTGAAACGTGAATGACAGGCTTCTACCAGTAGTAAAGGCTAAACCAACACTGAAAATGATAATCATCCAGCAACCAAAAAAGTGTAAATATCAAAATCTAATTTGAGATTTCAGCAATAATAACCAGACAATTTAATTTAATGATATATTTGTTTAATTTCAGTAAAAGATCAAAGGATGTTTTACTAGCATAAAAACACCTGAAGATTGATTTTGATTATTATTAAATGCGTTTTATGAATAAATAACTAATTGTGTAAAAACTCATTTAGAACTGCTAAATCGATTGAGTGCGTGCATGCCCTGTTATTATATGACGTGATGAGACCGCCAATGAGAGAGCAGTGAATTATCGATCAGAGCAACGATACACGATAACCCGTATGAGCAGTCTTGAGTACTTATCAGTCCTGATTTCTATCTAGCCCAGCCAGTTAAGTCTAGAACACCAATAACAGCCTCTGCAATATGAATCATAATTCGCAAACATAGTGGGTTTATATAACAAACAAACTGACCACATTGTTCCATAAAATACAAAATAACATTTGTACAAGATTTCGCTAGATGTGGCTGTGAATAGGGGGAACTGTAATTAATGGACTAAGGATAACCCAAGAATGGTAAATCGTATAAAATAGTCTATAGGTCAAAATAAAGCTCATAATATGAGGGACATGAATATGAATAGTTTAGTTACTTAACAATTATACAATAAGAAATATACATATCAGATCGATCCATAAATAATCCTGAAAGTTACCATTCACAGATCTCCACGGGATATAACAACAACTATTGTGATTTATGCCAAATATAGATCTTTCAACTAGTTTTAAAATAAGCTGAAGAAACATTGATCTTTAAAAATGTAAACTATTTTGAGGTAACTTAATAAAACAACTACACAGATTAAACGATTAAGTGAACAACACATAATGAAAGCCTTCCTAACGTATGTTAACAATTATTTTTAAAAAAATATAAACTAATATTATATAAATAAAGTAATATATCTTACTTGTACAATACCTACTGAAAATCCTAATGCTAATGCATAAGGAATTCTGAATTGTTCTGCATCATGTGTGGAAGTGTCATTATTGGTCATATTACCATATAGTGCTTCGTTTGCTGATTTTACTATAAAAAATAAACCAGATATCAGCAAAACATAAAATTATTGAAATATATTTAAATTCATTATAAGTATAATTATACATAGGAATACAATTTGAAATTAACATTGAAGTTTAATTGTATCTTCCCACTGATATTTAGGACTGCAATTGATCAGTCCCTTATTGGCATATGTGTATCCTGTGCGGACTGCCTCGATATTACCTGAGGTCACAAGCTTTATAAGCAAAGATGGATAGTGGATAGCAGTGGAATCCAGGACGCGCGTTTCGTCCTATTTGGGACTCGTTAGATGGATGTACCTGCATCTCAGAGTTGATGTTCACTCTTGGACTTGAACCCAGTACCCTCCATTGCAATAGCAAGTGGCTATTAGGACTCAGTAGCTAAGTGGATAACTCGATGGCGTTTGAAGCGAAAGGTACTGCGTTCGAGTCCAAGAGTGAACATCAACTCTGAAATGCAAGTACATCCAGTTGACTAGTCCCGAATAGGACGAAACGCACATCCTGAATCCCACTGCTAGCCACTATCCATTTTTGCCCATTAAAATGATATTTTGATGATCTTTTAAAATATTTCAACTTGGAAATACTAACAATGATAACCTGTTAACTCTAAAAGTGAAAGTGTTATGAAATACTAGGTTAAACTTTAGTGAATAAACTATTTCATATGACAACGAAATATGCTGCTTTTTCAACCTATCTACGTTTTAAATATATTACTTATTACTGTTGACAAAGGCTGTTGTTGCTTTCATCAGATTACAGATAATAGAAGCATGAGTTTAAAGTTAATTCGTTTTTGTGCTATTTGAGTAATATCACGACTGATCCTTGTATTTAAAAACGGAAATTTGTAGTAAGAAAATCGCAGTCTCTAGTCTTTATTTAATATCATACCTAACTCAATATAAACACGGCTTTTGAATAGTTTATTTTGAAACTTCAATGATAACCTTAAAATTTACAGAATGAATTTTGTATGTTACTAGTCATTTTTCAACAGTTGATTTTTAAGATAATTGAACAACTTTTCTAATATAAGCTATTCAAGGAATGATGAGTTTCGTTACATAACTAAAGTTTACTAATATTGGTCAGTGATAAGTTAAATTTAATTTCGAGATCATTTTAAAAAAAATCAAAATTAAACTTGTAGTACCATTATTATTACTAATGAATTTATTTTAAACAAGTTGTTTAATAAATATATTCTTACATCATCCATCCAAAGGTTAGTTTAAGAAGGGATGATCAACTTCTAGGATCGTAATCAAGAACTATAAAAAGTGTAAAATCTTAACAGAATTATATGTTACACACTCTAATCTCTTTTTATTTCATAAGTCAATTATTGCGAGTAAACAATTAAGAATTTTTTTAAAAATGTTTCAGGTATTTTGTTTATTACTATGGCATTTAGAAATCTTTTAGAGAGCATTTTTAACTGTTCATTGATATTTCGGAGATATAAATTGTTGTTAATTACATTGTCCATAAAAGGAATGGAACAGATTTCATCTATCATCTACAACTATATATTATCCAGAAAGAATTAAAACAAATCAGCAAAGAAAGTAAAATTTTCCTCTCTGAACTGTCCTAATAATTCTTCAATGATACCATGGGTTACTTCCGTTGTGTATTATTCACAATAACATAGTGTTTACTGAATAACATGCATGGGTATAGCAAGTAATTTACTTTAATGAAATATATAAAACTTACTACTCTGAGCCTTAAGATGAATAACTCTATCAAGAAAGTCACCTGTTAGTAAACTAACTACTGCCATTGTACCTGGAAAACAAACATCAGAAAATTGTTTTAGAAAAGAATTTATTCTTTAAAAATGAGAATAGAAAGTAATTAGAAAGATTTTTTAATGAATTATCTTAAACTCTCAAGATAAATCTGTTTCCAATGGTGTACTTTCTACTCGATGCAAGAAGTCGAAAATTCAGTACATATGAAAGTACATTATGCAGTTTATCCAGTTGATATTGTTACAATTAACTGTATGCAACGATTTAAACAGAACAGGATAAATAATTTAACACAACAGAAATAATAATAAGACGTTTGAACAAGGAGGTCAATGTATTTTCACTAATTAATTATTCGCAGATTGTATATTGTGCTCATACGACGGACTACAGCACAAAGTCGTTCATGGAGGACAGCTGATAGATGTATTTCTAGTGAGGACCGGAGTCAGATAAGGCTGTCTACTCTCCCCATTCTTCTTCCTTCTGGTGATTGACTGGATTATGAAGACTTCGACATCTGAGGGGAAATGCGGAATACAATGGACTTCTCAGAACCATTTAGATGATTTGGACTTCGCAAATGACCTAGCCCTCCTATCTCATACACACGAACAAATGCAGATGTAAATGTAGCAGCAGCCTCCGCATCGATAGGCCTCCACATTCACAAAGGAAAAAGCAACATTCTGAAATACAACACGGAAAACACCAACCCAGTCACACTTGATGGCGAAATTCTGGAAGAGGTGGACACATTCAAGTACCTGGGAAGCATCATTGAAGAACAAGGAGGATCTGATGCATATGTAAAGACGGGGATTGGCAAAGTAAGGGCAGCAAATCTACAATTGAAGAACATATGGAACTCAAAACAACTGTTAACGAACTTCAAAGTGAGAATCTTCCATACGAACGCCAAGACTGCCCACTGTAAGGAGCTGAAAAGTGGAGAACTATATCCATCGTCAAGAAGGTACAAGTATTTATAAACAGTTGTCTACAAAAAGTACTCAACATACACTGGCAGGATACTATCAGCAACAGCGTTTTATGGGAGAGGACAAACCAGCTTCCAGCTGAAGAGGAAATTAGGAAAAGACGTCGGAAGTGAATAGGATATACATTAAGGAAATCACCAAACTGCATCACGAGGCAAGCCCTAACTTGGAATCCTGATGAGAAGCGGGAAAGAGGAAGGCCAAAGAGCCCATTACTCTGGGAGATTGAAGCAGATATGAAAAGAATGAATGTTGACTGGAAAGAACTGGAAAGGATTGCTTGGAACAGGGTTGGATAGAGAATACTGGTGTGTGACCTATGCTCCTCCATGAGAGGTAACAGGCGTAAGTAAGTATATTGTAGAAAATTTGATAACAAAATATCAAAGTATTCCGTAACTATATAGTTTAAAAGCAAATATCACGTTATCTCATCTTCATTATATATAATACATAACTCTATAATTATCTGATATCAACAAACATTTCTCAGTGTTACATTGTATTGGAAGTTAATGAAACAAGGAAATAAACTGATACACGTTATTTAAAATGAAAAACACCTAACTGTAAAGTTAGCTATATTCCTACAATTTGTTCAGATGAAATAAGTTTAGCTATTAATATCATTCTCTATAGTGAATGATAAAAATCATTGACTAGAATGAAATAAAATAACTGATTAATCTTAAAGCGATGTAGTGAGATAATCGAGTAACTCTGAAAATTAGATCATTAAAAATATGCTGTATTTCACCAAATGAATGAAATTCATCCTAGAGCAAAGCTTTAGAAACTATATTCTTAAATACGATTTTAGTCAATCTTAACTAACAGCATGTGAAGAAAGAAACAAAGTGTGTTCCATCTGTATGACATTGTGATCCTTCAGAAAATTATTCAAAGCACCTTACAGAATGAAGAACTATGTTTCATACACTGAAGTTGGTTTATACATTATTTTGTTCTCAGAAATAGTTCACGCGGTTTCCTAAGTTAAAAATACCTCAATACCTTTCTATTATTTAATATCTAGTCGTCTACTTAATGGTAGTTAAAAAATAGATTTAGTCTTGATTATGAGTAGATATAATTAAGAAAGATTACAAATTAATGGATTAAGATAGAGATCTACACAAAAAAACATCCATAACTTTGTCTTCATTGTAAACATAGTTATAAGCTCATTATGATATCTCCGCTTTAGTCTAAAATGCAATGATCAACAATATAAACACAAACTATATATTTATATACTTGACATTTTATTCATGCCATTTAGATTATTTCTGTTCATGCAATTTATAAGGTAATTATTATTCAAATCAATATTTTTTCCAATTACAGTAATACTACTTATATTGTAAAAAATATGTGTACTGGTCAAAACTAATCTAGTCAGTATATACACTAACAAAACTATGTTCCCTAAAATATTGATTATTTAAATTTGAATTAATTATATTGAAACAATTTCACGAATATCAGTTCTAGTTCCTCATTATGTATTGTCCTTGGATTATGTGAAATAATATTCATTAACAGTGTCAACCTACTGATGGTTTGCGCTTTATAACTAGAATATATTAAATTTATTCAACAATATATATGAAAACCTTACCTATTGATATATGTCTGGATGTTCCAAGAAAGAAGTAGATTAGCGGTGGGAAGAATGAAGTGTATAGTCCGTATACTGGTGGCAATGTAGCAACTAAAGCGTAAGCCATGCCTAAAACAGTTAAAGAAAAAAGTTCATTATGGTAGATCCCATTCCTAATTCACAAACTAGTTGGTAAAATTCAATATGAGATAGATAAAAATTATATAATTCTTGATCAGTGAGATGAAAAGTCATTAAAAATCAGGAGAAGTTTGATAGTTCTTTTATCTTAGTTGTGTACTAATCAACAGTCTGCATACATGGTTTCAATAGGGGTTGAGCAAAATACCTCCAGGTCCCCTGTAATGTATGTCACACTTTGATATCTCCAGTTAGTTCGTGATATAGCGCGATAATCACCCAGTGACCTCGGTGATATTTAATCTCACCTGTCATTAATAAATAAAGAATTTAAATATATATAACAACCATCCTACAATCAATTTCGATTATAGCCAATTTTGGTTAAGCCCTTTTTATAACTTACTTAACTTTGGATAGTAACAATTTGCATATTTTTTGCACTGCTATACCACTAGAGCACATGACACTCTATCCGAAATGTTGACTGCTTAAATATCATTCGATGACTCATACTCCTCCCCATATATGTACGCACGCAAATATTACTATCAGCCTTTGTTTTGGTTTACTGTGCCCTTATTAAATTTGACTATAAATTGCCTATGTAATTGCTTGCTGTTCGCTCGCTTGCTCCTCGTTCGTTTCCTTCGCCTGTTCGCCTGTTCACTCGCTCTCTCGCTTGCCACTCACTCGCTCATTGATATTCGCTCAGGTGTTGTTAACTTTCTGACCTGAGTTATTCGACAATAAACTGTAGTTGCTGATATCCTTTGTCTTCTGATTTTACGCACCGTTAAGATTAGAATTATAACGGTTATCGAAGTAAACGATTAACGAATCGCGGCACTACATATACACTCATATACTAAGTTGCGTTTGTTGTCGATTAGCAGTTCAATAATGATATGATCATCTTCATGTGTGATGTTTCTTGTGTTACCAATCTTCTGACCTACTACGTCAGTGCTTATCACCTACTCACGAATGACTGTATAAATATATCAACTTCATGACACAGGACGCTGACTATGTTTTGCTATAATAGTTTTTAGTAATTTCATGCTATATAAGTGAGAATCTGAAGTCGTTAAACAAACCAAATTTAAAAACACTTGAACATTTTTTGTCTAGAATACGTAACACATTTTCATTCACAGAAAATGATTTATGTTTGTTGCGCCACATATAAGGTTGTTTGCCTATAATCAATCTGACAACAAAAATCTTGTCTTTGTTTAGGCGGTTATACTGCTCGAAATGTAATTGTAGACATACGGAGATCAATAGAAATTTGTTATACAGTTTTAAAATTCCCTTCTGTCTAGCTACTCAATTTTTAATGATCAGATTAGAAATAAATCTATTTCTATTCTCCATGTTGATTTACGAACAAGCTACTTTAGATACATTTCAAGTTATGACTGTATTTTCAGTCATGCTTGGCTTTCATGTAGAATAAATAAATCTTTAGTATCAAAAAATCACTCATACTAAATCCGATATACCTTTGAATATCAACGAATACCATTATGCTATTCATTCGAAATTGTAGACAAGGAGGATACTGTTTTAAATATTGTAGTGATATTTTCTACCAGTTTAACCCACCGGATTCACGTATGCTTTGAAGTTATGGAAAACGGTAGCTATTTATGTTAAGTGGATACTTGAATATATAATCACAAACTCCAACGGGCAGATATTTTGAGGAACCTCTCACCTGATTAACATAAAAGTGGAAGAACCAAACAGACGGTTTTATACTGTCTAACGCTTACCTTTTTATTATCAAAACTATCATTACGCTTCAGATATTTGAAATACAAAGAATTTAGCTGCTAAATAACGGTATGTAATACATATTACATTTCCTATGATATAATAGATTTTAAACATTTCTAACCTTGAGGTACATGCATTATTCCAACTGTAAATCCAGCAATTATATCATTCACAAGCCAACGTTTTACTCTGTAATGCATCAGAATCTGGATAAAAGGCAAATAAGTAATCAACCATTTCAAGAAACGAATCATAAAATATTGACACTTGTCAATTATTGATTGTTTTCTACATTGTTCAGAGAATTCTTCATTCGTTTTTTCATGGTCTGTATTAACATTTTCATTTGTATTGACTTTTAATATTTGAGAGAATTTTTGAAAAAATGGTACGAATAGACGTAGACATTGTTGCCATGTAGTTAGCGATTTTAAGTTCGAATTATATCCTACATATTGATTAAACGTTTCTTTATTGAATAGAGGGCGATTTATTGAAATTAATGGGTTATGTTCGTTGTTACTATTAGAGTCACTTTGACTACGAAGAGTTTCCATAGTTTAAAAAGCAAGCTAGAAAAAGAATAAATATTGGTATAAAAAAGAGATAAGTGAACAGAGGTTTTGTGCTCATGTATATGAGCTATTAAATTATGGTTTATCAGTGTAAGACTGTCTATTTGATGTTCGGTATAAAGTACCAGTTCTGTTTTGTTTAATTTATGTAACTAGAAACAAGCAAAAACTTTTATGAGATGCTAATTTTCATAATTTGTATGTTACAATGTTGTGATGGTAAATGTTGGGTTAGTAAGTAACTAATTTTCTTTTTAAATATTTAGGAGGTAAACAGAGAATTTTAGTACAAGGTTAGTCACCCATTGATTATATGTGGCTTGGAAATCATAGGTATTTGTGCACGTTGGTATACCAGAAATCAACAAAACAATATATTGTACTATTAAACTATGAAGAAGGAGTAAAGAAATATCATATCTACCACGCTGAAAAATGAGCTATAACAAAAATAGATTAGAGAGAATCCGATTCAAGGATAAAGAATGACATTATGATAAAAATAAAGTATGATTAATTTTAAGCCGCATCATTTATCACCTTGAACTATATATTATAATTATTCCATTCCCTGCAACTAATAAGACTGATCACTAACAGCCAGTAATATCGACAATAAAACGAAAACAACTGAAGTGAAATTCACCTTATTGCACAATCTAGTGCAGGTACATCCAGTTGATGCGTCTCAAATGGGACGGAACATGAGTCCTAGGTTTTTTTAGAAGTTGCTGTTTGACTTCTGTTTATGCTTTTTAATGTCGTTAGAAAAATAATGAAACTTCAATAGTATAATTGAAATGTTAAATATTAAAGAATACGAAGGGAAAGTCATAAGGTTCTTGTATGACAACTATGATTGTGGTATGTGCTATTTATGTCGTCAGATACGCGTAGTGCGGTGTGTGCTAGTGATGTTGACAGATATAAATAGTATGTGTCATCAATCAAAAGTGAAATGTCTGGCAGCATAAGTTTAAGAAGATCAAAGAAAAGAGGACGAGAACAGAGAACGATTGGTGTGGAAGCAAAAGAAAAATGAAGTCTGAGACGATTGATTGACATTTTGCAAATGAAGAATTTTCTGTATGGTTCTCAGATTTTACTGAGATATTCTGTAATTTAGTGTTAAAATACATTTGATTGTTCCCACTTGTGTTCTTGTTAACTACAGTAGTAAGTATCACCAATCGAATGCCTGGAGGCAGAGGGTTGATAAAATAGAAGAGAAGAGAACATGAACAGAGAGTGATTAGTATGAAAGTGAAGGAACAATAAAGTCTGAGACAATTAATGGACATTAATGGACAAATGAAGAAATGACTGTATGGTTCTCAGATTTTGCTACGAGATCCTGTAATTTCGGGTTAAAATACATTTGGCTGTCTCCACTTGTTTTCTTGTTCACTACATGGTATTTTTAATAATTACCCTTACTTTAAATGATACAGCATTTGTAGTGAAAACTCAAAAACTGGTTTATCTTTTAATATATTTTCCTATAATCTGTTAGACTATCTTATATAAAAATAATGGTCTGAAATAAGTATCTATTTTAAAACCAACAACAGGTATATTTATAAGCCTGGAAGCTACTGAATGTCAGCTGAACGGAAAAATACACGAATTGTCACCGATACATTTCAAACTTCTTTACAGAAGATTTATAAAACATACGAATTGAATCTTATATAACAGGAGTGAGGAAACTAATTTATGTGCTTAGATACTAAGTAACTGAATGTAATTTTTTGAGAATATTAAACAAACTTCTAATCCAGCGTTCATTATAGCCATTAATTAGTTTAAAACCTTTCACATCAGTCTTACCCAGTTTATTGTAGTTTAATATTTATCATTATTTAATTGAAATAATGAATTGAATATCACAAGAGTAGTTAAATAATTCATGATAACAAAAGACTCCTTATGTTATATTGATCTGATTAATTTGTTTATCATTGAAATCATATAATAATAAGATAAGAGTAAACGTACTCTTTTATTTGGTAGCTAAGGACGTTTAACTGTGCTATAAGTTAACAATTACAGAGAATTGAAATGAAATTTTTTTCTTACTATTTGAAGAAGGATCACAAATAAACACACAATTAACTAGTAGATGACATTCATACATCTGAATGAATTTATAAAATTGTCAATTAGAAACTGAAGCATATCCACAAAACCCCATCTGATAATAATCAACATTTGCTAACTAGTGACTGGCTCCATGAGGTATTTCCTGGAGTTCTAGTGAGAAGCAATGACCAGTGGAGTTCAACCAGGTTTGTTGTGAGGTAGTAACTGAATAAAGACATTGGTGAATGTGTCGCTCAACTTCGTGAATTGGTTGAAGTTAGAAATTAACACCACTGGATGCCAGCCAGCTCAGTGGTCTAGAGGTTAAGCGCTCGTGCGCGAGACTGATAGGTCCTGGGTTCGAATCTCGCGAGTGCGGGATTGTGGATGCGCACTGCTGAGGAGTATTAGACGGCCGTTCAGGTTTTCTATGGTGGTCTAGCTTCAATTGATCCATGATCTCAACTATCAAAATTTTAACATATATTGGTTTCTGATTTAAGGCATTGCTCATATCCATGACATCAATTATTAACGTTTTATTAACATTCAACCCTCTAATGTCATTGTAAAATTAGTTCAGTAAACAAATTGAATGTGTTTATGGATTGATTTCATAAATGAAGGTCTTGATATATGTATGATTCACAAATTATAAGAATAGAAATCTTGTAAAAAGTACAAATTTAAGATGAAAACATTGAACAAACAATAAGCAAAAACAGGAAAATATGAACTACAAAGCCGTTTTTATTTGTAAGTAGTTTTCTTCCTGACATAGATTAAGGAAATCAACAAACTGCATGACGATGCAAGCCCTAACTTGGAATCCGGAAGAGAAGCAGAAAAGAGGAAGGCCAAAGAAAACATTACGCCGGGTGATTCAAGCAGATATGAAAAACATGAATGTTAACTGGAAAGAACTGGAAAGGATTGCCCAGGACAGGGTTGAATGGAGAACACTCCTCAGCGAGGGGTGACAGGCGTAAGTAAGTAAGTAATTTCAGAAATGGAGAGAATTATTATCAATCAATGAGTTATAAATGTTGGTTGTATTAAGTCTCTAAGTATAGACATCTTCAATTACGGATGAGTCAAAGTATAAAGCTAACAAATAAAGAAGTTGTATTCACACACTTTATACTCGTTTTTACTGTATATTACTACTTGTTAATAATAAAAGTCACTTTATGTACGATAATTTGGAATAAAAAGACGTAATTTAGCCAATATTGACTTTAAGTTTTTAAGATCATTTGGGGTCGGGAGTGGTCATTACTGTAATTTTTTAAATTATAATCAAACAGATGTTGGCTACTTTTTGAATCTACAATTAGTAGTCAATACGTAGCAATGAATTTCGTGCCTGTTCAGTCATTAGGTTGACAGAATACTCTCATTCGGTTCGCAATTCGTTCAGTAGTCTAGCTGATCGAACATAGCATTTATTGTGCTTTGAAGTCATATGACTAGAGATAATTACGAATAAGCACTGAATGCAGACTTTACGCTACCTAGAACTCAATAATTTGGCGTGTCTTTAGCCCTTGGGGAAGTGACACTTCCCAACTAATTTCAAACCAGAACCATTCAGTCTTAAAATATATATTGGAGTTAAATCCATGATACATGTAGATAACATTATCCTCTTCATAAAAACTGGTCAGAATTATTACTTTAGTTAAGAAAATTATTCTATAAACTTTAAGTAACTATATACGGATATACAAAAATTCTTCTTTATCAGTTGTTGACTACCTGAAAAGAATAATAGTTGTTACATGCTGATGAGGGTCTATTCATTAGTACGAAGTCTTTATTGATAGTTGGTTCTGAGAAATTTAGAAAAATAAATTAGTTTGTATCTTTATGTAAAATTATCAAAAGCGTTGAAGTCCTAATTACATAGTACATAGCACATATGATAATTTATAAACAAGATTCTTCACCAAACTTAATCTATTTTACAACCCATCAATCACAACACAAAATTTCACTTCAGTTTCCAGAAAGTCTGAAACTGGGTCTGTGATACCTAAATGTTTCAATGTGATCAACAAGTAGAAGAAGTCATTAGTTGTTATTAAGATGTTACTTATGAATCCAGTTGAAGCAATAATATTATATCAAGAAATGTTTGAAATAGAGGATTCTTTCAAGTCAAGGATCTGATTCATAAATCTTAGCCATTAAATCTCTTTAATGGTGCATGAACAAGCACCGATTTTACCTAATAATTCTTCCCAATGTTAGACTTTTGGATGCGATTCATAATTGTATATCTTCAATATACCTTTCTAACATGTGTTATAAGTTATATTAATCTCAAACTAATTACTTGTTTCAATAGTTGAGGTCATGAGTCAATTTAAGCTAGACCACCATAGAAAATCTGGAAGCACTGGACAGTGGTCTAGCTTCAATTGAATCATGATCTCAACCATTGAAATTACTATAAAATCCACAAAACCCCTTCTGATAATCACTTATGCATGAATTAAAATATTTTTATTTTAATTTCATATAGAAAGTAATGTGTTATAAAAAATCAAAATTAAATAAGCTAACATTTTCCTGTACAAAAAATAGTTTGTACTTTTCTCTGAAATGACGTTTCCTTCATCATTGAATAATCAAAATGCTATATCCTGTGGAGATTTATGAATGGTAACTTTGAGAACTATTTATGGACCATTGTGATATGTATATTTCTTATTGTATAATTGTTAAGTAACTAAACTATTCATATTCATGTCCCTCATATTATGAGCTTTATTTTGACCTATAGACTATTTTATACGATTTACCATTCTTGGGTTATCCTTAGTCCATTAATTACAGTTCCCCCTATTCACAGCCACATTTAGCGAAATCTTGTACAAATGTTATTTTGTATTTTATGGAACGATGTGGTC